TCTTTAGTGATATACTTGGATTCCTTTCTCTTTATTTTTATATATCTATTACTGGTTTCTGATTTGTGGTTACCATTATGTTTGTATATAATATCTTCTTTATATAAGTTGATGGTTGCTTAAGTTTGAACCCATTCTTTATTCCTCTCCCCCTGTGTTTTAGGTATAGGGGGTCATACTTTACATCTTTTTATTTTGTGAGACCATTGACTGATTTTTACAGATACTCTTCCTTATGGTCTCTTGCTTCCACTCAGAGTTCCCTTTAACATTTCTTGTAGGACTGGTTTAGTGGTGATAAATTCCTTTAACTTTTGTTTGTCTGGGAAACTCTTTCTCTCTTCTCCTTTTCTGAATGATAGAAACTTGTTTCTCGAGCCTTGTTTGTAACTATTTTCTTTTCTCTTGCTGCATTTAAAATTCTCTATCACTACTTTTGCCATTTTAATTACTGTATGTCTTGGTGTGTACCTCCTTGGGTTGATTTTGTTGGCAGATCTCTATGCCTCCTGGATCTGGATTTCTGTTTCCTTTCCTAGATTCAGGAAGCTTTCAGCTATTATTTGTTCAAGTAAATTTTCTGCTCCCATATCTCTCTCTTCTCCTTCTGGGATTCCTATAATATGAATGTTATTCTGCTTGAGAGTGTTGCAGAGTTCCCTGAATCTATTTTCATTTTGTATTTTTTTTTCTCTCACCTGTGTGGCTTGATTCTTTCCATTACTCTTTCCTCCAGGTCACAAATCCATTCTTCTGCTTCTTGTAGTCTACTACTTATTCCATCAAGTGTATTTTTAATTTCAGTGAAATTCTTAATCTCTGATTCTTCTTTCTGTTTTCTATCTCTTTGTTAAGGGTCTTACTGAGGTCCTCCACTCATTTCTCTGGTCCAGCAAGTATCTTTATGACCGTTATTTAAATTCTCTCTCAGGTACATTACTTACCTTTGTTTCATTTGGCTCTCTTTCTGTGATTTTGTCTTGTTCTTTCATTTGGGACATATTCTTCTGTCTCCTCATTTTGTCCGAACTCTGCATCTGTTTCTATGTGTTAGGAAAGTCAGCTACATCTCCTGCTCTTGAAAGTGGTGGCTTTACGAAGAAGAGTTCCTGTAGTGTCCTGCAGTGCAGCGTTCTCCAGAACCTGGTGCGTCGGGGGCGTCTTCTGTGTGTGTTGTGTTCACCTTGCTATTGTGGCAGAGCCACCTTTTCCTTCAGTCCAGTTGTTGGCAATGGCTCTCTTTATCTCTTGTGGGTAGAATTTGGTCCCTGTGTTGTTAGTGGGCCAGTTTGGAGCCATCTTGGGGTTGAGTTGAGTCAGACCAGGCATTTGCCAGAGAGGCAGAATCACCAAACTGCGGGGCGCTTTCCCTGTGTTGTCTCCTTAGAAGCTTTTGTTGGTGGGCAGTGCCTGCAGTTAGATCAGCAGTTTCCCCGTAGCCCACTGCTGGGGCTGCATTTGGACTGGTTTATGTGGTTTGTCTTTCCTTCTCCCTGAGGCAAGAGTCACTTTGGAGTGGTGCTGGCCCCTGTTGGGGCTGCTTACACACTGGGAGTCTTACTGTACCTTTTTGGATGGGCTCTGACAGAGAGCTTATTGGAGGGGGTGGACCCACAAAATCTGCGGGAGCAGGAGGTGTGTTGTTAGCAAGTTAGGTAGCAAGTGTCTGCATCCCACTGGTTCCTCCACATGGCCATGTGTTTAGACTGGGGCGTGGATAGGGTGTGAAATGGCACCTGCCAGCCAGCTCCTTTGTTTCTAGAGAAGTCTCCCAAGGATCCCTGCACCTCTAGCACATGCTCTGAGATGAATAAACAAATCTTCCTCCCCTATTCTCCAGGTGTTTTTCCAACTGCTGCTTCTATGGTGTATCTCTGCAGGCTGTTTTTTTGTGCTGTCTCTTTAAGTGAGGACTGTTTCCTCTCATCCTCCTGGCCGAGCCCACTGATTTTTAAAGTTCTAGGTTTTAAGTTCCACTGGTTGTAACAACTTATGAAATTTAACCCCTTTGGTTTTCAAAGCCAAATGTTATAGGGATTTGTCTTCCCCAGCAGGCTTCCGCTCAGGGTGATAGTATGTCTCTCCTCTCTCTATCCACGTGGAGTTCCTCCCTCCCAGGGAGGGTCCTGCAGGTCTGTTTAGCTCCCCACTGCATCTCTGCCCTTCCTACCCTCTTCATTGTGGCCTCTTCTCTTTATTTAGCTATGAGTTTGTTCTGCCAGTCTTTGGGTCATTTTCTGAATTATTTACACAAATGTGAGTGTTATCTAGTTATATCTGTGGGATGAGGTGAGTTTAGGGTCCTTCTGCTCCACCATCTTCCTTAGAATGTACCTTGGTCTGTGTTTCATATCTAGTATCATTAGTCTTTTATTGTGTATCTAGAAGAGAAGTGTATAACTTATTATCAAACTGTTGAGATGATGTAGCAAAAATGCCTTCTGTTGGTTTGTCTGTTACCACAGTTCTTTTAATATTTCCTGCTAGATACTGCTTTCCCATCTTCCAGATATTGTTCAGTAACCACATATTGAGTGCTTCTTTTGGCTTTGCTTTCTGCTTGGTGCTATGGGAAATTAGAAGACTGTGAAATGGACTCTGCCCACAACAGACGCAAGGAGTCCAGGATCTCTCCAGGTCAACCCTACCATACCTATACCTGTACCTTATTTTATCTCAACTATAGCTTATGCATTACCACCTCCATGCCTTTGTTCAAGTCAGGAGCCAAAAAGCAAGGGAAAGAACATAAAATATGGAACCAGAAAGTGTGTGTTTCAAGGGCAAAAGTCCATTTTCATGGGTAAAATACCAATTGCAATACCCATTTCACATGATTATTGTGAGAACTGAGAGCAATGATAGGTCATGGTGTCTGGCACCTCCTTGGTGCTTAATATGTATTTTTCCCTTCTTCAACTCCTTCACAGATCTTTAATTTCTGGTTCAAGTCCTTCTTCCTGTGCAGATCTATCTCAGATGACTGGTGATCTTGACCAAAGTAATTGTTCCCTCTTAAACAATCATTATTCACTGACTATATTAGTATTTCTCAATCATTTGCATCCTATGACATTAATAGATCTTCTGAGAAAAAGGATCTTTGTGAACAAAGAAGTTTGGAGATTACTATATTTTAAAGTCTTCTCAGAGATTTTAATGCACATGTTCTGAGAAGTCTTGTGGTAAAGAAACCTGGTTAACTTTGTTTAACCAAACATTTTTTTTAGCAATCATGAAAACCCTCCACTGCTTCCTGTTTCCCCCTCCCCAGAAAACTTCTTGTAACACACTGGGCTCTTTTGTTTATGCCATTCATTTGAGTTCATACAGTGTTTTTGACATTATTTATATTTATTTAATGTTTTATGTATTTATACCTTCAGTCTTCATTTAGAAATTAAGTTCCTTTAGGGCAGAGTCCAATGTATATACCTTATTACATCTATGGCCTTGAATTTAGTAGATATAAGTTCTTCAAATAGGAGGACTGTGACTTAAAGAATGGATAGATTCTGGTTCTCTAATTTTTTCTAAATTCCTTTTATCTTTCTGAGCAAATTATATTTTACATTACTAATAAATATATCTTCTTAAGCTTTGTATGCTACATATAGAGAAGATAAATGGTGGCAGGTGGAAAGGAAGGGTAGAATAAAATGGTTTTCATTTCTCTTATTCAAATCAAATCAGAATACCAGAGAGCTTACAGATTACAGTGCATTGTGTCAGAATGGTGTGTCAATGGAAGATGGATTTGATTTTTAGAAATAGCCAAAAGTCATTGAAACCCATTCTATTATTTAAGGTCAAGCAAATTAACAGGGTTGTTTTTTTTTTTTAAGATTTTATTTATTTGAGAGAGAGCACACGCACACACGTGCACAAGTAGGGGAAAGGGCAGAGGGAGAGAATATCCAAGCAGACTCCACTGAACACAGAGCCCAATTCAGGGCTTGATCTCACGACCCGAGCCAAAACCAAGAGTTGGACACATAACCACCTAGGCCACCCAGGTGCCTGGCACATTAACAGTTTTTAATGGTAAAAAAAAAAAAAAAATGTTCAGTGTCTTCAAAGTATTGAGACTTTTTTGAATGGCTTATAAATGGTTTTTGAAAGCAATTTCAAAAGAGGAGGTCTAATAATATCTTGAGCATTGGAAAATTATAAGAACAGGTATATATAACCTGTTAAGATGATGTCTTTGAAAAGTAATAATCATGTAGAAGTACAAGTTTTGTGTTATGTGTTTAAATTAACCATAATGCAGAACCATTGATTTATAGCTAAGGCCCGTAATATTTACATAGAGCTGTGTCTTTATTTTTCTTCTTTTTCCCCTCTGATCTTCTTTCCTTTGGCCTTTTCACTTCATAGTTACATCGTGATACAGAGGTGGGGAATAAAAAGAAGGTGAAACTACACCAATTTTATTCTTGATTAATGATTTTTATAAAGTTCAATAGTGATTTTTAAATATAATTAATTTATTTAGTTAGTTTTAAGTAGACTGTGCACCCAGCACAATGCAGGACTTGAACTCATGACCCTGAGATGAAGACATGAACTGAGATCAAGAGTTGGATGCTTAACCGACTGAGCCACCCAGGCACCCTAGTAGTGATTTTAGGCAAGGGATAATTTTACAGTCATTAACTGCAGTGGAGTTTTGAGATGAGCTACTAATTTAACTATTCATGCCACTCTATCTCTTCTCTTTGCACAAATAATTTAAACTTAGCTGAATAGATAATTGGCATCTATAATTATGACGCAGCCAATTTTACTCTTGGTCCTCTGTGAATGTTTAGCCATGTATTCAGAGTCATTAGTAATTTGGTATAGGAGATTAGTAGAGTATTTTTATTTATGGAAGGGGAAGAAAACTGATAAAACTTGTTAGTAGTAATTTACCTAGATGATAAACTAGAAAACTATGAAGTTTTAATTTTAATTTTGGCATATGCTGTAATGACGGAATTTCTGTTTCTACACAGGAACTAAGCACAGACAGAGACTCTCCTGAAATTAGCTTTCTCTCAGGTACTACTACTAAAGTATCTGATGTGGTGGTTGTAAAGGAGAAACCATTACTAGAGCCAGAGAAGATCTTAGCAGTACCAAACAACTTTTCTGAGTCTGGAAAGGAAGCCACATTGACCATGAATTCTGAAGAAACCAAGGATGAAGAAAGTTCTCTTAAAACTTTTGTGTCTGCCTTAGAAAGGTTACTCACATCACCAGAAATCACTCAGGAGGAAAGACTGTTGGAAATAATGAGTGATTTTGAACCTAAAGAGTTGGCTAACCCATTGAGCAACTCTCCAAGTTCCATATCAGTATCTTTGACATGTCACAAAGATTTACTAGAAAACACAAAGGATGATGCATTGCCAACTGAGTTGTTAGCAGTCCTAAACACATTATCAGAGGGCGACGTGGGACCCGTCTGTCATGGAGAAGAGGGAGGCAGCAGTCTCAGGGCTGGAAATGAATATTCTGGAGTGGAGCCCAAGAAGTCTCAGACCACTGAAGATTGTACACAAATAGCAGAGGTGAATTTTGAGTCTCTTTGTTCTGCTCCACTCTTTGAACAAGATTCCAAGTTAGGGGAGCTGCAGGACAAGCATCTTTCACTGCAGCATGTAAGTGCAAGTGTGAGCCTATGATTTTGCCTTTTATAGTGACCTTTACCAAGTCTTCATTGCCCATATACTTTATTTTAAATTCAGATCCTCTTGGGGCACCTGGGTGGCTCAGTTGTTAAGCGTCTGCCTTCGGCTCAGGTCATGATCCCAGGGTCCTGGGATAGAGCCCCACATTGGGCTCCCTGCTCCGCGGGAGGCCTGCTTCTCCCTCTCCCCTTCCCCCTGCTTGTGTTCCCTCTCCCACTGTCTCTCTCTCTGTGTCAAATAAATAAATAAAATCTTTAAATTAAAAAAAAAAAAATTCAAATCCTCTTCCCAAATATCAACACTCAGAAGATGCTTTTTGAATTTGAAGCATAAACTGATCTTTCTAGAGATTCCAGGGGTAGAGTTTTCAAGGGATTTAAGTGTTGAAGTAGAGAAGTTTCTCATCAAAGACCTGAGACTTATTATTAGATTGCTTGTATATAGGAAGGAAATAATTATCTACCAGATTTTTTCCTGTTAGCTCAGAAAATCACTATGCCTACCTGGGTGCAGAGTAGAGAGGTAGATATCCCACATTAATTTCTAGTTGAGGATAGAATATATGCGGTTGGGCTGCCAGGAGAGGGAAAAAGTTATGCCTGGCTTCAGCAGAACTTTGCAATCAATGTCTGAGGCTACTATCAAGTAGCACAGTTCCTGCGGTTTGGAATTCCTGCAGTATTATGCCTGGAGACCGTGCAGTGGGCTACCACTAGCCAAGTCTCTTTTTTACGTTAACAGGTTTTTTTCCTTTTTAAAGGAATCTTATTTTTTTTCCTGATTACAATAGTAATACACCCTCATTATAAAAAAAAATCAAACATTACAGCAATACACATAATAATATAATAAAAAAAGTCCCTCACAATTCCACATTTCAGAGATAATCACCATTAACAATTTGGTGTATCTGTCTCCAGTTTCTTCTATGCATATTCTATGTAAGTTTATTTTATATAAATGAGACTATGTTATACATAATGCTTTGCAACTTTTTAAAATATTTTTTATGAAAGTATAGTTGACATTTTGCAGCTTGTTTTTTAAATTTAATAATACATCTTGGTTATCTTTGTCAGTGAATGTAGCATACTAAAATCTTTTTACTTGCTAAATACTATTCGACTATATGGATATTTTGTGTGTGTGTGTGCGCGTGTGTGTGTACATATATAAATATAATTTACTTAACTAATTCACTAATGATGGTCATTTGAATTATTTTCTTTCTTTTGGCTATTACCAGGTAACTTTTATGAACATCCCTGGGACAATTTGAATAACACATTACTAAGCACATGTTGCAAAATACATACCTGGCATAATACTGCATGCAATTCTCATAGAAAACATCTCAAAACAGACATAATAAAATTTAAAAAATCCAGAAAAAGAAAAACTAATCATGGGGATAGGGTATGAAGATTAAATTAAACATTCCAGTATTCTAATCTGAAAAGAGGTAATATAAGTAAAATGTAGGAGATTATAATTGGTTGGTATTAATAGAGTGAGCATGAATTTAGCAAGTGTTCAAAAAAAAGAGAGGTAAAGTAAAAAGTAAAAAAGAGATGGATTTAGAACAAATTAAATACCCTTTTACTCAGCCATAATAAAAATATGGAACTTGTTATGCTAAAAAGCTTTGCAAGCTGGATATATAAATAAGCTCAAGAAAGGTTTACATGATATGTGTAAAAACATATATCTTCATGAAAGTTAAATCTATAATGGATTATTAAGGGGAAGTTAGAGCCATTCATGATATACTGGTAACCTTTTAAAATCAATGTAATAGAAGTTATGTACAACCTTGTCTCACAAAATATTACTCCCTGCTGTCAAACAACAAACACTGGGCTGAACAGAGCATTGATCTGGTCTAGTATGACGTTTCTACTGTTTTTGTATGTCATTTTTTGCTGCCTATTTCCTGTGAAGTTAAAGCATCCAGAGTAACCTTAGTTTTGCCCTTGAATTTTAAGGATGAATATTGATAAGAATAATTTTTACTTACGCTCTTCTCGTCTGAGGCTTTTAATTATATTATTATATTTTATTTTATTATATTATTATTATTATATTATTAAATTTTTATTATGTGGCCTGTGGATTTTTGTACTTTCATCTTATAAGAGGCATTTTTGTATAATCAAAGGACAAGATAAAACTTAATTTCTTCTCATTTTAAATCTTTTGCATTGTTAAAATTATTTGTGTATTTACATCTTATTACAGACTCTAGAAGATCCAAGTCTATCTGGGCTGCAAACGTTGGTTCATCAAAGTGTCACCTCTTGTGATCCACTAAATAATAAGGGTAATTCAAATTCGGTGGAAAATAAGTCTGACGAGGACCCTCCATGTGTGTTAAGGAGATCGTCCAGACTGAGAGCAGGCAGAAATGAAAAGCACACAGATGACAAGTATAAGATGCCAAAAAAGATTTTACCAAAGATACTTGTCAGTGAGAATCAAACAAATAATAACTCTTCAACTAAGAATTTCAGGTATACTCCCAAATTATATCTCTCTCTCTAGATATGCTACAGACTTTATAGATAATTCTATGCTTGGGACACTAGAGTCAATATACAGTTACCCCTAAGTGAAGAACTTTATTTTTTAGTGTTGTTGCCTTATTTACTGTACAGTTATTTTTTTTTAACCCAGAAAATTCTTCTACTTTTTTTTAAAAAAAGACAGAGTAAAGGGAGATTTGTTGGATTTCAGCCTAATGCTAATTTCCATTCTTTCTTTTTTAAATTAAGTTAGTTAGCATCCATCATCACACAGTTACAGAATTTTCTTTTCTTGTCATGAGAATTTCTAAGATTTACTCTCTCAACAATTTTCAACTGTGCAATACGGTATTGTTAACTACAGTTACCGTGCTGTACGTCCCATCCCCGGACTTATTTATCTTATAAATGGAAGTCTGTACTTTTTGATCACTTTCACCCATTTCACCCACTCCCCACCCCCCTGCTTCTGGAAACCACAAGTCTGTTCTCTGTATCCATGAGTTTGGGTTTTTTGTTTGTTTTTTGTTTTTTTGATTCCACATATAAGTGAGATCATACAGTATTTGTCTTTCTCTGTCTGACTTATTTCACTTAGCATAATGCCCTTTAGGTCCTTTCACATTGTCACAGATAGCAGGATTTCCTTTTCTATGGCTATTCTGAATAATACTCCATTGTGTGTGTATGTATGTATATGTGTGTGTATGTGTGTGTGTATATATATACACCAATTTTCCTTATCCATTTATCCATCAATGGATACTTAAGTTGTTTCCATGTCCTGGCTATTGTAAATAAAGCTGCAGTGGACACGGGTGCAGATTTTTTTCAAGATAGTAATTTTATTTCCTTTGGATAAATATCCAGAAGTGGAAATGCTGTATCATATGGTAGTTCTATTTTTGATTTTGTGAGGACCCTTTCTTTATACGGTTTTCCATAGTGCCCTCACCAGTTTACATTCTCACCAGCAATGCACAGGGGTTCCTTTTTCTTCACATCCTCAGCAACACTTGTTATTTCTTGTCTTTTTAATGATACCCATTACAACATGTATGAGGTGATACCTTACTGTGGTTTTTATTTGCATTTTCCTGCTGGTTAGTGATGTTCAGCACCTTTTCCTGTACCTATTGGCCATTTGGATGTCTTCTTTGGAAAAATATCTTTTCAGTTCCTCTTCCATTTTTTAATTGGATTGTTTGCTCATTTGTTATTGAGTTGTATGGGTTTCTTATATATTTTGAATATTAACCCCTTATTAGATATATGATTTGCAAATATTTTCTCCCATTCAGTAGGTTGCCTTTTTATTTTGTTGATGGTGTCCTTTTCTGTGCAGAAACTTTTTAGTTTGATATAGCTCTAGTTGTTCATTTTTGCTTTTGTTGCCTTTGCTTCTGGTGCCAAATCCAAAAAATCATTGCCCAGACCAGTGTCAAGGTGCTTACCCCCTGTGTTTTTTCCTACGAGTTTTATGGTTTCAGGTCTTACAATGAATGAAGTCTTTCTTTAATGCATTTTGAATTGATTTTTTGTGTATGATGTAAGATCAATGCTCAGTCTAATTGTTTTACATGTGGCTATCCAGTTTCCCAAACATCATTTATTGAAAAGATTGTCCTTTCCCCATTGTATATTTTTGGTTCCTTTATTTTAAGTTAATTGACCATATATACATTGGTTTATTTCCTAGCTCTACAGTATTCCATTCAGCTATGTGTCTGTTTTTATTCTTTATTCCACTATTTTGCAGTTTTTGATCAGTGTAATCCCACATGGCAAGTCCTGTTTTCTTGCAAAGAGCCTGTCTTTTTCCCTAGAAGGTGATTAGATAATGGCATGCCAGCTTAGGGAGTGAGGGGCAAGAGACTCAGAATACTTGTAGATGACTGCTTCTGAAGGAGAGAAACCCACAGATGGCACAAAGAAAAGGCTAGAAGCCACAAAAACTGGCATGCCTGTCATAGAATTATCTGCAGTTTACTCAGGAGCCATCTCCATATTTTAAACTGCCATGCTCTTTGGGTCCCTGGGTGGCTCAGTTGGTTAAGCGTCTGTCTTTGGCTCAGGTCATGATCCCCAAGGTCCTGGGATTGAGTCCCACATCTGGCTCTCTGCCCAGTGGGGAGTGTGCTTCTCCCTCTTCCTCTTCCTCAGTACTCAGTACTCTCAAATAAATAAATAAAATCTTAAAAAAAAAAATAAACTGCCATGCTCTTTGATAGCAGCTCAGTAAAATACCTTTCAGTTTTAAAAATTGAGTAAAAATTTAGTATGATTCTCTATGAATTGTTGTAGAGAACATGATAGTAATTTTAAGAACACCTTTATGTTTCAAGAATGCAGGATCCTGCTTTAATGATTAAAGGTAAAGGGAAGAATATGCATTCAACCAGACTCAAAAGTGGAGAACAGATGCAGAGAAACAAAAAATTTGCTGGAAAAAATGGTGAGACATATTTGATTTATTTTTTTTTTTAACCAAGTAACTTATAGAAACATAGAATACTGGTACTGAAAAGGATTTAGAGATTATCTATCTCAACTTTCTCATTTTACTGATGAGGAAGTTCATAAAGGTTAAGGTTTTTTCCCAGCATTGCACAGCTTATTAGTAGCATAACTAGGACTTGATCATGAACTTCTGGCTTATAGGCTGGTATTTTTTCTATACTTCTATTTGGAGAGAATAGTTACAGAACCCTTTTCAAATTTAGATATGTGATCTATTTGTGGTGTGGTAAACCTAGCATAAGGCTAGGTGTTGGATGTTATTTCTTTGTTCCTATAAAACCCCAAAGAATAACCTAAGAAACTATGAGAAACCGTAAGAATCTAGAAAGACTGGTTAAAATATAATAGGGGTACAACTGGCAAAATTAAAATATGGATTGTAGGTTAAGTAATAATACATCATTGTTAAATTTCCTGAACTTAATAATAATTTAGTTATTTAAGAGAATGTCCTTGTTTTTAGAAAATACACACATAAGCATTAGTGAGTAATGGGACATGGTGTATGTAAGTTATTTATATATATGTGTGCATGCATGTGTTTATATAAAAAGGGAGATAGAATGATGTAAACAGGTGGCAAAATACTAACAATGGGTGAATCTTTTGTTCTGTCTTTATAACTTTTTTGAAGTCTGAGGTTTTTTTCCAGATAAGACATTTAAAAAATTCAGTGAACTGAAACAAGACAAAAATAAATACCTTTCATATGTATAAGTATTACCCAGTTAGAAAAATATAGGAGAAAGTCCCGTTTATAATAACTATAAAAGAGAAAATACCTGCTTGTATACCTAATAAGAAATGTGCCTTACCTGTGAGAAGACGGTTGAAAATTCTGCTGAGGGACTTAACAAAAAAAGAGACTTGAATAAAAAGAAGAACTTTACTCTTGACCATAAGTGTTCAGTCTTGTAAGAAATTTATTGCTCCCTAAATTACTCTATAAATATGTGAGAGCTCAATCAAAAACAGATTTTTGTTTATTTGCTAATTTGTTTTGCTTTATAAAGCTGGAGATTAGTTAGAATGTTATAAAATGATACTAAATATGAAGGACTAGCCTAGAAAATTCTGAAAAATAAAAGCACAGGGAGAGTGGAGAGACAAGAACCTGCTGTACATAATATAAAAGCAATTAGAAGGCCATAGAAATTAAAATAATTTGGTACAGGCAAGGAATAGACAGATAAATTGTTGAAACAGAATAGAGTTTAAATGTAGAAGCCTGATACAGTGTGAATTTTGGGGAAGGTATATAATAAAGATGGCATCTCAAATTGGTGGCAAAAAGAAGGACCAAGCAATAAACAGTAAAAACATAAACAAAATTGGGTGGATACCTATAACATTCCTTATACTAAATTTAATTCCATTTTGTCCAAAGATTAAATGAAAAAAAAAATTCTAGAAGAAAACATAAGTGAATCTTTTTGTAATCTCTGAAGAGGAAAAACCTTCTTAAAAAATGACAAACCCAGAAGCCAGGAGGGAAAAGAATGATAAAATTGACTACATATATTTTAAAAAGATTGTACGGAAAAATACCCTAAAGAAAACCAAACATTGAGCACAGAAGAAATATCAATAACACATAACAGGGGTTAATTGCATTAACATGCATGCAAAGAGCTCCTACAAAACAATAAGGATAAAGAAAAATGAGTAGGGAACATGAACAAGCAGTTCACAGGAAAAAAATATATACATATATATATATAAATAACTGGGACGCCTAGTTGGCTCAGTCAGTTAAGCATCTGACTCTTAGGTTTCCCTCAGGTCATGATCTCAGGGTCTTGAGATCCAGCCCTGCATCAGGCTCCTTGCTCACCTTGAGATTCCCTGCCTCTCCCTTTTCCTCTCCCTCTACCCCTCCCCCTGCTTGCACTCTTTCTCTCTCTCTCTCTCTCTCAAATAAATAAATAAATAAATAAATAAAATCTTTTTAAAAATAATTGAAAGGATTAACATCTCACTTATGATTTAAAAAAATATAAATTAGGAAGTATAGTTTTCACTAAGAGAATGTCAAATGTTTAAATACTTGAGAATTCCCAGTGGCAAGAATATGGAAAAAGTAAGCATTCTCTTATGTTGTTGGTAATAGTGTAAGTTTGTTCAGTCTTTTTTTTTTTTTTTTAAGATTTTATTTATTTATTCGACGTAGAGAGAGCAGGGGGAGGACCAGAGGGAGAGGGACAAGCAGACTCTGCAGTGAGCACCGAGCCCGACGCAGGGCTCAATCTCAGGACCCTAGGATCATGACCTGAGTTGAAACCACGACTGGGACGCTTAACTGACTGAGCCACCCAAGTGCCCCTGTTCAGTCTTTTCACAGGGCAGTTTATTTACATTCTTCAGACTTTTAAGTCACAATTCTTGAATTGGCAATTCTACTTAAAGGGATTTATTCTAGGTGTATCAGGGTGACTCAGTTGTTTGAGTGTCTGACTCTTGATTCGGCCCAAACTTCTAGGCCCAAAGCCTTTTGGATTAGTTTTCTCAGGCTACCATAACTAAATACCACAAACTGGATTGCTTAAATGGCACATTTATTTTCTCACAGTTCTGGAAGCTAGAAGTCCAAGATGAAGATAATAGAAAATTCGATTTCTGGCAAGACCTCTACCTGGCTTGCAGACAGCCGCCTTCTCTAAGTGTCTTTCCTGCATATGTGGAAAACTCTAAAGTCTCTTACTTTTTTTTTGTAAGGACACAAATCCTACTGTATTATGGCTTTAACATACAAATTTTGAGGGGATGGGATTCAGTTCATAACACCTTCAGTGGTGAATTCTACAGACATTTAAGGAATAAATAATACCAGTTTTCCACAAACTCTTCCAAAAAGTTGAAGATAAGGGAATACTTCTCAATTCATTCTGTGAAGCTACTAATAAACTGAAAACAAAATCAAAGACATCACAGGAACAGAAACCTACAGATGAATATATCTCATGAACATAGATACAAAAATATAAACAAAACTTCAGCAAATCAATTTCAACATTGTATAATACATCATGACAGAGTAGGGTTTATCCCAGGAATGCAGGATTAGTTTTACCATTTGAAAATCAATCACTATAATTCACTAACTAACAAGCTAAAAAAGAAAACCATATTACCATCTCAAGGGATGTCAAGAAGGCATTTGACAGCACCTCACATGTCTTACTGGTGAAACTCCCAGCAAACTAAGAATAGAAGGGAACTTTGTCAACCTGACAGAGAGCATCTACAAAAAAATATACAGCTATTATACTTAATGTAGTGAAAGATTGAATGCTTTTCCCCTAAAATCAGAAATAATGCAGGGGATGTCTGCTCTCACTATTTCTGTTGAACATCATAGTAGAGGTTCTAGCCAGTGCAGTCAGAAAGAAAAACAAATAAAAAGCATCCATGTGGGAAAAAAAGAAGTAAAACTGTGTTTAGTCACAAATGACGTAATCATCTATTAGAAAATCTGATGGAATGTATAGTAAAAGCAACTATATGTAAGTGAATTTTGCACAATTAAAGGATACAAGATCAATATACAAATACTAATTATATTTCTATATTCTAGTAACATTTAGACAGTGAAATTTGATACCATAGTATCAAAAATATGAAATAGAGATAAATTTGACAAACTATGTAAAAGACAGGTACACTGAAACTTACAAAACATTATTCAGAAAAATCAAAGAAAATTTAATGGAGAAAAATGGGGAGATATTACTTTGTTCATCAGTCAGAATACTTAATATTGTTTTTTGGGGGCTTTTTTGTTTTTTTAGAAAGACAGAGAGAGAGAGAATTCCAAGCAAGCTCCACGCACTGAGCAGAGCCCAATACAGGGCTTGATCTCACAACCCTGAGATCATGACCTGAGCCAAAATCAAGTCGGACATTTAACCGACTGAGCCACCCAGATGCCCCAGAAGATTAAATATTGTTAAGATGTTATTTCTACTCAGATATTATCTATGAACTCTACACAATCCCAATCAAAATTCCTATAGGGTTTTTTGTAGAAATTCACAAACTGGTTCTAAAATTCATATGGAATGCACAGGACCTAGAATGGTAAACAGTTTTGAAAAAGAACAAAGTTAGAGGGCTAACACTGCCTTATTTTAAGAATTATATGACAGGATGGGGTGTCTGGGTGGCTCAGTCAGTTAAACATCTGACTCCTGATTTCGGCTCAGGTCATGATCTTGGGGTCCTGGAATCAAGCCCCACGTTGGGCTCTGTGCTCAGCGTGGAGTCTCCTTGTCCCTCTCCCTCTACTCCTTTCCTGGCTCTCTCTCTCTCTCATTCTCAAATAAATAAATAAATAAATAAAATCTTAAAAAAAAATATGGCGGGGCACCTGGGTGGCTTAGTGGGTTATGCATCCGATTCTTGATTTCAGTTCAGGTCATGCATAATCTCAGGGTTGTGAGATGACTGTGTTGGCTATGGAGCCTGCTTGGGATTCTCTCTCTCCCTCTCCCCCCTGCCCATTCTCCCCTTCCCCACTCACATATGCACACTCTCTCTCTTTCTCTCTCAAAACAAAACAAAAAAATGATATGGCTCTAGTCATCAAAATAGCATGACATTTCCATCAAGATAGGGAAATAGATCAATGTAGTGAGTTCAGAAATAAACCCTGAGTTTTGACAAAGGCATAAGGCTTGTAGAGAAGAGCAATTAGAAATCCACATGCAACAAAATGTTATTGAATGTATATTTTAAAAGTACTGAATTTTGTTTTGGCCTACAAGTTACTTGAAGATCAGATTGATCCTTTCAAAACTTTTTTAAAAACCTTATTAGGCAGGCTTGATGTAGGCTTTACTATATAGCTAGTTTAGCTCCTTCTACTAAGACATGACCTGTCAAGGGTCTCTACTAATGCTCCGGTTGTTAGCAAGGTCTCTCTCCTCAGGCTGTCAGGAATGTAAATGTTTCCCAGGCCTGCATGATCTCTCAGGATTGTTATTTTATAGTTCTTGGGTAGTTGTTCTTGCCCAGCCTCAGGAAGACTCAACCTACATATGAGCACTTTAGTATTTAGATAGTGACTCAAGGAGTCCCTTTTATAGATTTCGGTACCTGTTCTCTCTTCCCTCATCGTACCCTACTGTGCAAAAGCTAATCTCCCTAGCCTCCTGAAACTTGAATCTCTATTTCCTCAGCTCAGCAGGATCACCTTGCTATGCTTTTGCTATATTCTGGAAAGTGCCTTCAGGCAAGAGTGATCTTAGGGCTCACTCTCTTGTTTCTCTTCTCTGGAAGGAGTCATAGATCTGAATTGCCTGTTTTCCAGTGTCTAAATTTTTTTACCCCGTATATTTTGTGTAGTTTTTTTAGTTGTTTGCAATGGAAGGGCAAGTCATGGCAATTATTTAGTCATGATTGGAAGTGAATGGCTTCTACATCTTAGTTTTCATTGAAAAATTTTGTATTCTTAATTTGTTATTTCTAATAAATTATATAACTAGCAAGTACAACTGGCAAAGACAGAGCTTGGAGTAAAAACTACTTTTTTTTTTGGGTAAGCATACAGTTTATCTGGTAGGAGCAGAATGCTTTGTAGTCTTGAGTGGGGGAAGATAGGTTCAAATGTTCAGAAGTTGGTTTGTTTTACAGTGGAACTGAATGGAGGGAATCTAATAAAGGCAAAGCAGATAAATGGTGATCCATTAAAAAATGTGCTGCTGTACTCAGTTACTTTTGTGAGATTTTAGGATGGGGCAGATTAGCTAGATCAAAATTGGAAAAGCTATAGTCATAGTTATTCTGAAATTCAGGAAAACCACATGAACTAGTATCCATAAAAATTGACAGAATTTAGAGTATCTAAATAAGGAATGTCAGTATTTTAGGAGACAGTGGAGAAATGATACCTGATATTTATAAGCTGGGAATCTATTTTAATTGTCTATTTTCTGGCTTAGGAAAGAAAACTATTGTACAGATCAAGACCATATGTCTTTATTTAATTTTGTGACAGCTGTTTGTAGCAAAGAAAGAAATTTAGCATTCTCTTTTCTGGCCTCACTGGGTTAATTTCTGTATCTTCCTTATATACTTCTGAGATTTTTCTCCTCTTGGTGTTAAAACACATTTTGGTACTATAGTATTTTGTTGGGTTTAATAACACCTAATTCTAGATTTAAATAATCCTTTTCACCAGAACTTTTAAGAAAGTAATCTGTTAGTCTTCTCATGTATTCACTTTCATGGGGTTTCAATAAACATAAACTGCTTACATAATTTATAATGTACTGCAAGTATTTTCAAACTAATGATATTTTTCTTTTACCTTTTTGCATGTAGATAACATTATTGTTGGGTTTATGGATGAAATACTCTTTCATAAAATAATTCCAGAATGTTGACTGGATTCACTCTATTACCTGTATTCTTCCTGATTTTTAAATAAGGATTATTACTTTTTGTTTTCTTTTGTTCATCCCCTCGTTTCAGAAAAAATGAAGAGGAATAAAGTATCTCTGTCTAGCATTAACCGTAGAAACATTTTTGGAGAGAACTTACTGTATCAGGCTGCTCTGCATAATGACATTGATCTTGTTCATCATTATATAATGAAAGGGGGAAATGTTAATCAGCCAAGTTATGCTGGTAAGTTGGGGTTAACCCACAATTATCTTGGGAGTGGTTTTTGTTTCTGCTTAGTAACTCCTATGAAAGTATGACAAAGTGGGTATAAGGCAAGTCTCAAACAGAAAGCTTCCAGGTAATTTTTCTGCTTAGGTAGCTGATCACCATCATCTCCCAGGGAAGTGGTAAGGTCGGGAGGCAGGGGTAGAAGAGCATTCTATTGCACCTTCAAAGATTTTGCCTGCCCAGGGCCCACCAGGTGGCCCACAGGATATGGTTCCTGTGGCTGACTTGCTGGGTTTGTATGGGCATTGTTACTGTGAGACTCAACTTTGAATGGAAGAGAAGTGAGCTCAAAAGCTGAAAGAAGCTGATGGTATGCTGAGCTATGGGGGAAACTGAGATAACATGGTAGATGTACAGTAGATGTACAGCAGGGGCAATGGCCAGGGATATGGAGAGAAGAGAGTATAAGGTAGAGATGGTGGGGCAGGGAACTCAGACCATTCTTTCTGCAAGGCTGGATCTCTAATACAGTCTTTTTTGTGGAGAGAAGCTGATGTTCTTCTGGACAAGAATGATTCCTTAAGGACACTTAAGTACGTAAGGCACTTAGCAGCACTGGGCCAGTCTGGGTAGTGCTTTTGTGTGTCCATACTTTTACTAATGTTTCTAGACTTTCTCAGTTTATGAAACTGTGAAAAGTCTTAGGATGCACAGGGGTGAACAGCACAGTCCATGGACAAGCTGGTGATTACACTTACTTTAGCAAAGCCTGCATTTATGTAATAATCAGGGTTTTAACAGGCTATTATTCTAAATCTCATACCCAAGTGAACCGCCAACGTCCTGTAACCCTCAACCTTGGATCCTTATTTGCTAGCCAAAGCACTTACTTCCTTGCGAAATGTACTTGCTGTTAGTCTCTATCTGCTCCTTAAGTTCAGGAGTAGCTCTACATGCAGCTAACTTTACTTTATAGACTTCCCAAGAATCTCTTAACATACTTATTTTCATGAGCCATTTTCTGTGCCATTGTTAACATCCTTGGTGTCTGTTACCTGCTTGCCTTCGGCAATTTATTGTGCACTTTCTCCTCACTGCCCTAGATACTTCTGTGACCTTAATGAATTTTTTATCCTTAACATATTTTCCTGGCTTTTTGAAGTCTTTTGTTCTCTACTTTTCCTTCTCATTTTGCATCTTAGCTCTGATCTTTACTTCTGGCTATTCCATCTTACAAAATTGCAGAGGGTAGTGTTTTTAAAGACTTGACTACAACCATATTCATCAGAGTCACCTGCAATGTTTGTTTAAAATGCAGTTTGTTTAAAATGTTTATTTTGCCCTCCAAAACACACACATGCACACACACACACAGTCTCACAATTAAAATCTGTAGGTTAAAACCTTGAAATCCACATTTTAACATATTTCCCCAGATGATTTATATTCTCAGTGAAGTTCAAGAGCTACTGGCAAGAGATGTATGACTTCCATGTAATATACCAGTTCATTGTAGTGAGCTTTTACAGTATGCCCCTTATGTACCAGGTATTATGAAAACAGAAAGATAAATATACTAGAAAAGTTTAAATATAGTCTGTGATACAGTCCAAAAAAGGGTAAGTGCCTTTTGAGAAATTCTTAAGATGTTATGATAACAGACCAATGGTCTTGTCATAGGTAACATTTGCATTATAAGTCTCATTTGCATTTTATGGTATCTTTGTCTTTGATTTAAAAAAACGATTGCAATAGTTCTTCATCTATCAGAAACAAAGGTGAAACCAGGAAGTAGGCTGAAGAAACTCTGAATACCCAAAAACAGATCTCATTAAGCTTCATTGTTAAAACCCTCTCAGACCAATGCCTTGAGCATTATTTTACACAGAATTCTACCTGACTCCTAAGTCTCTGGCACATTAAAACACAAGGAAACGTGAACTTACACCTCTGTGGGTGTTAACAGTTGCTACATTAGAGCCTATTAGTAATATTATGATCTTTATTAAAATTTGTTATTTTCACTTTCTGGGATAGTTATTATCTTATAAAGCTTTAGAGAGATTTTCTTTAAGATGGTTAAATTTTTTAAAAAGAAAAGAAATTGTTAAGGATCTTCCAACCTGCAGATCTGGAAGATAATAAAAGATCTGTTGTAAAATGTGATCCATCTTTATTTCGAAGGAGTGGTTTTATAACACAGAAGGAGTAATCCCCAGGGGAAGGGAAATTCTTTGTACGTTTGATTTCTTTCTGCATTGTGTAGCCATTTCTGGTCTACAGTGGCTCTGTCTACAGAATAAAGATCCTTCTGGCTTTGTCAATGCTGGGAATTTCTTTCAACCTTAAGATTGATACTAATCAGGGGCACCTGGGTGGCTCATTCAGTTAAGCATCTGACTCTTGATTTCGGCTCAGGTCCTGATCTCAGGGGTCCTGATTGCAGGGTCCTGGGATCAAGCCCCGAGTGATCCCCGAGTCGAACCCTGCATCGACTGGCTTCTCGCTCAGTGGGACATCTACTGGAGATTCCCATTGCCCTCCCCCCACCCCATAAATAAATAAATCTTCTTAAAAAAAAAAAGGCTGATACTGTTCATCACTGGGTCATCCTTGCTTGGGTCTCACTTAAAGTGGCATTCATTTTTTAGTCCTCCCCTAGCCCCCATTGTTTATTCTGAATTACTGACATGCACTAATTCTCTTCTTTGGGAATTTTCTGCAGTGAATTTAAAATAGGAGACTGGTTTTCCACTTTACATTTACCTTATCTTTTAGTCATTCTGGCTCAGGGAAAACAAAACTAATCCTTTGTTACGGTTTTCTCATTCCGATAGCAGTTGTTTTTGTCCATTTTAGGAAACTAATTTTTATTGTAGCTTAAGCAAAACCTAAATAAGGAAAGGAAGTTTCCTAGGAGGAAAGTCATCATCTACATTTCAGAGTTAATAACTTTTGGATTTCTTATATTTCATTTTTCATCCTAGACTGGTGGCAGATAATCAGGTTAACCAATATACGCATTGATAAGCAAATATCCACAGGTCCCGAAACCTAAATGAGTTCAAACTTTTTATCAAATAGTATTGGAGGGAGATAATTTTTATATTACGTTTTTAAAAATAAGTAGTCCTTAAGTGGTTATGTTTTAAAAGTTCACATGTGAGCTATATATTTGAAATTTCTTTTAACATTATGAGAAATTTTAAACATACTGAAAAGGTAAAAGAATTCTACATTAAGCATCCAGATACCTAATACCTAGATTCTACGTACTTATTTTTATTGCATACTTACTATAAAGGAAAAACACTCATGTATTTCTCTTCTACTTATATTCATAACACTTCTGATATCAGATGTGTGGGATTTTGGATGCATCAAGCGGTTCTCCAACACCTGCAATTTAGTTCATGTCTGACTAACCCAAATTTGTATAGATCCCACAGGTTAAGGGATCAGTCAGCCACCCCTACTTCAGATGCCAATCACAAGTAGTAGGTCCCTGGGTTACCTGCAATTTCTGTTCAACTTGGCTGCAAATTGGAGGTTCCCACAAATCGCTTCCTCGGATTTGATCTTTTCCTAAAATAGCTCACAGAATTCAGGGAAACACTTATGTTTACCATGTAAGTTTATTATATAATAAAGGATATGACAAAGGATACAGATGAATATCCAGATGAAGATATAGAGTGAGGCATGGGAGGGTCCTGGAGCACAGGAGCTTCTATCCCTGTGGAATTGGAGTATGTTACCTTCCCAGCATGTAGATGTGTTGAACAAACTGGAAAAGTTCTCCAAACCCCAGAGTTTGGAGGTGAAACTTCCAAATTTCTGATCATGACTTGGTCTTTCTTATGACCAGCCCCCATCCAGGAGTCCACCAAAAGTTGCCTCATTAGAACAAAAAATACTTCTGTCACCCAGGGAATAGCAAGGGATTTAGGAGCTCTGTGTCAGACACTTTTATCACTTACGAAATTGCAAAGCTCTTGGGACTTCTGTATGAGGAACTGGGGTGAGAGACCAAATATTAGAACAAAAGATTGTCCTAGCACCCCTGTTTACAAGGGTTTAGGAGCTCTGTGCCAGGAACCAGGGGGCAGAGATTAATAAATATTTATTATTTCATTCCTATCCATCTTTAAATCTATCCGTCCATCAATCCATCTTTATGTTGATGCATTTCAAAGAAAGTTAGTACATTTTACCACTGAACACCTCAGCATTAATATCTCTGAGTTCAATAGTTTTTTTCTTTTTATTTATTTATTTATTTATTTTTAAAGATTTTATTTATTTATTTGACAGAGAGAGAGATAGCGAGAGCAGGAACACAAGCAGGGGGAGTGGGAAAGGGAGAAGCAGGCTTCCCGCCGAGCAGGGAGCCCGATGTGGGACTCGATCCCAGGACCCTGGGATCATGACCTGAGCCGAAGGCAGACGCTTAACGACTGAGCCAGCCAGGCGCCCATAGTTTTTTTCTTTTTTGAGGTAAAATTTCCATACTGTAAAATGCAGATCTTAAATGTGCTGTTTGATGAATTTTGACAAATATATTCACCTGTGTAACCCAAACCTCTATCGAGATAGATTTTTTTTTAAAAGATTTTATTTATTTGGCAGAGTGATAGAGAGCACAGATAGGCAGAATGGCAAGGAGAGGGAGAAGCAGGCTTCCCACTGAGCAGGGAGCCTGACACGGGGCTCAATCCCAGGACCCTGGGATCATGACCCAAGCTGAAGGCAGACACTTAACTGACTGAGCCACCCAGGTGCCCCTATCAAGATAGAATATTACCAACATCCCAGAAATTTCCCTCATGCCTCTTCCCAGTCGTTCCCCACCCCCACTCTCTAGAAGCCACTATTCTGATATTTCTCTGGTATTTTTCACTATTTCTTATAGTTTTGCCTCTTCAGTATTTCACCATTAAGCATGATGTTAGATGTAGGTTTTGTAGCTGCTCTTTATGATATTGAGGAATCCATTCCTAATTTCCTGAGTATTTTTATCAGGAATGGATCATGGGTCATGATAAATCACCCTTTTATATATTGCTAGATTCAATTTGCTACTCTTTTGTTAAGGATTTTTGCATGTATGATCATGAGTAATATTGGTCTGTAATTTTATTTTTGTTGTAATGCTTTTGTCTGATTTTGGTATCAGGATTTGCTAATACTTTGTTAAAGATTTTTTTGGTGTAACCTATGTTTGTAAGTAATATTGGTTCATAATTTTCTTGTAATGATTTTGGTTTTGGTATCAGGGTTATGTAGATCTCATAAAATGAGTTAAGAAGTATTCTCTTCTACTTTCTGGAAGAGTTTGTGTAAGATTGGGGGTTTTTTCTTAAATGTTTGACAGAACTTAGAGTGAGACTATGTGAGCCTGTAATTTTTTGTGGCAAGATTTTGATAATAAATGCAAATTTCTCCTATGTGTGAGCTATTCATATTTTGTTTCATCTTGTGTCAGTTTTGGTAAGCTGTACTTTTTCAAGGAATTTGTCCTTTTTATCTAACTTACGGAATTTATTGGCATAAAGTCATTTATAATATTCCCCTATTAGTGTTTTAATATTTGCAGATCTTTAGGGCTATTTATATTTCATTCCTGATATTGCTCATTATCCCTCTTCCTTCTTTCCTTTTTCTTTTTTTTTTCCTTCCTTCCTAAAGTAGTTTAAGCTAGAGGATTATCAATTTTACTGCCTTTTTTTTTTCAAAGAACTACCTTCTGGCTTTAAATTTTTCTCTCTTATCTGTATTAAATGTTATTCTGCTTCTTTTGACCTCTACTTATTTTGGGTTAATTTTTTTTCTTTATCTAACTTCTTAAGGTTGAAAATAAGGTCACAGATTTTTGTACATTTTTCCTGCCATAGTCATTTAAAGCTTTAAATTTCCCTCTAAATACTGCTTTTGCTGCATCCAACAGATTTTACTATATTTTCATTATCATTCACTTTGAAATACTTTTAATTTCTTGTATGATTATTTGTTTGACCCCAAGATTATGTTAGAAGTTGTTAAATTTTTAAATATTTGAGGATTGTCCAGGTATCTTTCTAGTACTGATTTCTAACTTAATTCCTTTTGGTTAAAGGATATACTTTCTGCGGATTTGATCCTTTTACATTTATTGAGAATTGGTCTGTTGCCTAGTTTATGGTCTTTCTTGCTTACTATTCCTTGTGTACTTGAATGATTATTCTTTTTTTTTTTTTTTTAGATTTTATTTATTTATTTATTTAATTGCCAGAGAGAGAGAGAGACAGCGTGAGAGGGAACACAAGCAGGGGGAGTGGGAGAGGGAGAAGCAGGCCTCCTGCTGAGCAGGGAGCCCGATGCGGGGCTCGATCCCAGAACCCTGGGATCATGACCTGAGCTGAAGGCAGATGCTTAACGACTGAGCTACCCAGGCGCCCCTTGAATGATTATTCTTCAGTTGTATCCAATGTTCTATAAATGTCACTTAGATGAAGATGGTTGGTAAGATTCAGATCATGTCTGTATTTATGGATTTTTTTGTCTAGTTGATCTATCATTTTAGAGAAGGGTGTTGAAATATTAACAACTGTGATTGTGGATTTGTTGATTTCTCCCTTTAATTCTGTCCATTTTTGCTTATATTTTGAAGTTTTGTTATTAGGTACATATACAATTGTAATTTTCATGTCTTCTGATAAATTGACCTTTTAATTATTATGAAATACCTCTCTTTATCTCTGGTAATATACTCTGTCTTGAAGCTACTATATATGATATTAATATAGGCATTCAGCCTTCTTATATTTCTTGTCTGTTTGCTGTATCTTTTTCCATCCTTTTATTTTCAACCTATCTATGTCTTTTTATTTAAAATTTATTTCTTGGGCACCTGGGTAGCTCAGTCAGTTAAGCGTCTGCCTTCGGTTCAGGTCATGATCCTGGAGTTCCCAGGATCGAGTCCCACATTGGGCTCCCTGCTCATGGGGAGTCTGCTTCTTCCTCTGACCCTTCCCCCTCTCGTGCTTTCTCTCTCTCACTCACTCTCTCTCTCTCAAATAAATAAATAAAAACAAATTTTTTTAAGTAAATAAATAAAAGTTATTTCTTATAGATAGCATATTTCTTTTTTTTTTTTTAAAGATTTTATTTATTTATTTATTTGAGAGAGCAAGAATGAGAGAGAGAGAGAGCACATGAGAGGGGGAAGGTCAGAGGGAGAAGCAGACTCCCTGCTGAGCAGGGAGCCCGACGTGGGACTCGATCCCGGGACTCCAGGATCATGACCTGAGCTGAAGGCAGTCACTTAACCAACTGAGCCACCCAGGCACCCGATAGCATATTTCTTATAGACAGGTTTTTTATCCATTCTGACAATCTCTGCCTTTTAATTGGGGTGATTAATCAATTTTCATTTAATATAAAAGGTTGATTGAGGACTGCAGTTTAATTAATTTTTTCTTGTGCACATTATCTTTTTTTCCCCTCTCTTTGTCTTTGCATTACTTTGTAGTAGTTACTCTGGTGATTGAAATATACATCTTTAATGTTTCAGTCCTTTTAGAGTTAGTATGTTAATATTTCTAAAAATGTAAAAACATTGACCACATCTCCCTTTTGTACTATATATAACATCTATATACATTAATAACACGAAAATATAATGTTACAATATTCAATTTAAACAGTCACATGCATTTTAAGAAAATTTATAGGAAAAAAACTCTTTTATTAACCATTTGATACTCTTCATTTCTTCCTCAAAGCTTTCTAATTATTAGTATAGGAGAAACTGCTTCTATATATTTATAGCAATGGGTCTTGAGTGATATTGCCTTTCAGGGGAGATTTGGCAGTTTCCGGAATCATTTTTAGTTGTTACAACTGGAATGGGGGTGGGGTGCTATTGGCATCTAATAGAATGCTCAGAACCACAAAGAATTATCCACCCCAAAATGTTAGTGCTGAGTTAGAGAAACCCTGGCTTAGGGAAAAGCTTCTGGAAAGAGTGAAATACACTTTTAACATGCAACTTTTAGGTTTTCTTTCATCAATCCTATGATTTATTGGAATTTAATAAATATAACTTACACCATTGTCTCTGGCTAACAAGGATAAAGGATACTTGTCTGTACGACTGGTTTTCTTAAAATAGTGGTGTTAGAACTACTGTAAATAGGGGTGCCTGGGTGGCTCAGTCAGTTAAGCATCTCACTCTTGGTTTCAGCTCAGGTCATGATCTCAGGGTCGTGAGATCAAGCCCCACATCTGGCTCTGTGCTCAGCGTGGTGTCTGCTTGTTCCTCTCTTTCCCCCTCTGCTTCTCCCCACACTCTCTCTCTCTCTCAAATAAATAAATAAAATCTTAAAAAAAAAAAAGAACTACGGTAAATAGCTTTTTAAAACAAGGAGAAAAGAAATATATGTTTTTGAAGTGACTTCTGTGCATTCCTACTAGCTGTGTTACTTTAATGGAAGTACCTTGAGCTATAAAGTTTTTTTCCCTCTCTTCTCTCCAGGAAAGTAGCCTGCAACTAGCATTCTCTGTGAGCTAATAATGACTCCCTTACAACCTTTTTATTTGAGAAGGGCAGGAATAGTTTCAAATATTTTACTTCTTTAAAAAAATTTTTTACTTTTCATATTTTTTCACAACTGAGTTGGGAGTAGGAATTTGATTTGGTCCTCAGATTTATTGAATTCATCTAATAATACAAGTTATTTCATGGTAAGATTATCTTGTCTCATATAATCAAAATATTTTTAAAGAAACAACATAGAGTTTTTATTTTATGGGCAAGCACAAAACATTAAGATAGCAAACATAACTACCATTTCCTTTTTGTATAATAGGTTGGACAGCACTTCATGAAGCTAGTGTAGGAGGATTTTATCAGACAGCAAGTGAACTATTAAAAGGTGGAGCAGATGTAAATATCAAAGGAATGTACCAGATCACTCCCCTACATGATGCTGTGATAAATGGACATTACAAGGTACTGTGATGTTTTTGTTTGCAAAGCAAATACTACATTCTGCAAGTATTAAAAATCTCTGGAACCTATCAGTTTTAGGAATTCCGTTTTAGTTCATTCTGCTAATGAATAATCAGAATATGTAATAAAATTTTACTGTGTAATAGATTTGTTGTTCCTAATATGGTAGATGCCATTTTACATGTTACTTTTAATAAGTACAGATCATGTTTTGGTTATACGTAGTCTTTTTTAAACTTACACTTCTTTAAGACTCTTTCAGTATGGTGCTTTATAGGTTTTACCAGAAAGTTTCCTGCTTGTAGAGTGTTACACAGTGATGTCCAGTCCTAACAGGAGGCATCCAGCTTTATGGACACTAATGTCACTTTCAGAGTCCACATAAGACCTGAATTTCTTGGGTTTAATAATCAGCCAGTATATACTAGCGTAGATGTACCAATGGTTAAAATATCAAAACACTGTAGTTCCATACAGATTGGTTAATAGTAGCTGCAATTAGGATGATTAATAGTAATATTAAATTAAGATGATTGATCCCAGCACATACATTTATTTCAGAAGTCACTTAAGCTCTGAGCTTCCCAGACATTTTTCTGGTCTAGGCACCATGCTATAGGACTGAGGTACTTGCTAAAAATATCCTGTTATTTATTTCAGGTATTGGAAGTTGTCTCTGGGTTCGAGTTCCTAGGGTAGGAAAGGGAACTAATCAGCTGGGCTCAGGAAGTTATGTTCTACATACTTCCAGAAGAAATGCCTGACACGTAGAGCTGGAGATGGCTGCCTGGAGCCACAGGCATAGACAGAGCATATCCCTTACTAATGTGAAACAATACTTCAGGGAAGTTTAAGCTGTTTTTCCCTTTTTTGATAATATATCACTTGCTAGTAGGTGGTCCCCCCTGCACATTGTAGAGAGGGCTGGGGGGAGGGAATTCTGCTTGGGACCTAATTTAATGGCCAGAAGAATGCAGGCTTGGACAAGTGATGGTGTGAGCCCTCTCTGTCCTTTACCCCCTCTTCAAAGCTGGCCTCCATTAGAGAAACCTCCCCAAAGCACTTCTTCCTTCTACTCATGGTAGAAGTTGTCTGCTCTTCAAGTTGTCAGGGCTGACCTATCCTAGTCAAGAGTCTTTTACCCCTTTGGGCAAGGTAAGCCCTGAGCACTTTACTTTTTCCTTGTTTCTTTCTCAGTTCTTTTGTCCCATCCGGTAACTTGGCTTTAGTCAATTTCTGCCTCATGGGCGACAACTGGCTGTCTCCTGTGTGGCCTTTCCAGATATGTAGCCTTATCCTACTCCCTCAGTGTAGTAAAAGGGACCAAAGACACATGCCTCTGATTCCAGGATCTAATTTCCTCACTACTTATCTTACTCCCACTTGTGTTCTTGTGACTCGTGTGCTTCTGGCACTGTGGCATGTCCTGACTGATGGCAGGAGAAAAGAGAATGACAAGACAGAAGTGGAAGTCTCAAGAATGGTCATGAGAATTAAAAGCTGAAACCCAGTGGGGTGGGGTAAAATCACTGTCTTCTTCATTGCCGTCCCATTTTGTTTAGCTGCGGGGAGCCAAAAAGTTGCTTAACCCAGTCCAAGAGAGATTTCCAAAACTCCAGGTCAGTTCTGGACTGACTTAAGAACCAAAGCCTTAAGAATCAAAGTAGGGCAGGATATTGTTTTGGAAGATGGAGTAGGGATGGCAAGAGCATCAGATGAGGATTTAGGCTAACCTTGAGGGAATCTCTTATGTGATGCAAAGATGATCAGAAAAATGGTCTAGACCCTGAATATTGTATTGCTCCCATGCCTTAGTTGTCACAGGACTCATATGTCAGACAGGGAAGCCCTGGGAACCTAATGCTGGACTCAGCACCTGGAGAGTGTGAACTTCTTAAATATTCCAGAGTTGAAGAAACTTGAATATATGTTGTCTTACAGGAATTGACTTTTATACTAAATGATGGGAGATACTAAAAGATAATACCCTATTTTTTAAGAAGTAAAAAGCCATTAATATTTGCAATAGTCCAAATCTTTAGAGACAGAGAGAACATTAAGAATGGAAGGTAGAGAGGCGCCTGGGTGGCTCAGTTGTTAAGCGTCTGCCTTCTGCTGAGGTCATGATCCCAGGGTCGTGGGATCGAGTCCCACATCGGGCTCCCTGCTCAGCGGGAAGCCTGCTTCTCCCTCTCCCACTCCCCCCTGCTGTGTTCTCTCTCTCGCTGTGTCTCTCTCTGTCAAATAAATGAATAAAATCTTTAAAGAATGGAAGGTAGAGAGTAGAGAATGGAGAGTAACGGGTCATGGTTAAAGGATTTCTTTTAGGGGTATTAAAATGTTTCAAAATTAGGGATGCCTGGGTGGCTTAGTCAGTTGGGTCTCTGCCTTCGGCTGAGGTCATGATCCCAGGGTCCTGGGATCAAGTCCTGCATCAGGCTCCCTGCTTAGCAGGGAGCCTACTTTTCTCCCTCTGACTGCCGGCCCCTGCTTATGCTCTCTCTCTCTCAAATAAATAAATAAAATCTTTAAAAAGAAATGTTCCAAAATTAGATTGTAGCTATAGTTACACAACTCTCTTAAGAACGTTGAATTGTATTTTTTATTTATTTTTTAATTTAATTTAATTTTTTTTTAAAGATTTTATTTATTTGACAGAGAGAGACACAGTGAGAGAGGGAACACAAGCAGGGGGAGTGGGAGAGGGAGAAGTAGGTTTCCCCCGGAACAGGGAGCCCGATGCTGGGCTCGATCCCAGGACCCTGAGAGCATGACCTGAGCCGAAGGCAGGCGCTTAACAACTGGGCCACCCAGGCGCCCCTGAATTATATTTTTTAAATGGGTGAATTATATCTCACTGAAACTGTTAAAAAGAAATACATTTTTTAAATTGAAAAAGATGAAATTTGAGAATTATAGATGATTGGCTCATTCTGATTCCTTAGAAAAATCAAGAATAAATTATTAGACATAAGGGAGACATTTAGACAAGAATGTAGTGATCTTTGAGAATCTGTAGGCATTACTAAGAACAAGTTACCAAAATACACCCAGGATCTAGTGTATTGCTCTGTTCTGTTCACTTGTCTGATTATATTCTCTCTCTCTCTCTCTCTCTCTCTCTTTTTTCCCCACTGGAACAGACTTCTAAAAGTTTTCATTTTGTGCTCTGCTGCTATATCACTTTCCAGTAGCCGGCTGACAGAGACTCCCTTCTCCTGCAGTTTATCTTCCGATATATCACCTCAGATTCTCCGTACGTCCTATCTTGCAGAAAGTGGTCACTTTCCTATTTGTAGAATTACAGCAATTCTTTTTTAGACTCCAGTTAAGTCCACAGGTGTTCAGAATGATTTGATAGCTATTTAGCTGAATTCTAGGGACTAGACAAAACTAGGGTCCCCTACTCCTCTGCCATCTTCCTCCCTCCCTCCCAAAACTTCTTTTATTTATTTATTTATTTATTTATTTTTGCTGCTTATGTGTTTTTATTTTGTTTCATATTGTGTTGTGTTGTTTGCTTTTTTTTTCCTCCTTTTTTTTATTCTTATGTTAATCCCCATACATTACATCATTAGTTTTAGATATAGTGTTCCATGATTCATTGTTTGTGCATAACACCCAGTGCTCCATGCAGAACGTGCCCTCCTCAATACCCACCACCAGGCCAACCCATCCTCCCACCACCCTCCCCTCTAGAACCCTGTTTGTTTTTCAGAGTCCATCGTCTCTCATGGTTCGTCTACCCCTCCGATTTCCCCCCCTTCATTCTTCCCCTCCCGCTACCTTCTTCTTCAAAACTTCTTTTCCTAAAAGAAAGCTATATACTCTTTATTTTCTTTGCTGAACAAAACATGAAGATCCAGACATAAGTTCGTTATCCTCTTACACCTGGCTTATATATGAATTATAGATTTAATTATATATACTATTACTTCCAATTTCCCTATCTAGCGTTAAATTCTCATAATAAAATAGTTTGAGAAACAGAATTGCTGAGTCTTAATAATTTTTAAGGGATCTGGCTTATATTGTCTCTTTGTGGTATTATGTTTTTCTCTCCTAGTATGGTCTGTTATAAAAGGAACAATGCATATATATTTAATTTGAGGGGTATATACAATTTACAGAAATTCAGATCCTTTTTCTCATTCCAGATATTAACATGAAAATTTAGTCTCCTTTTAGTGTAGGGTTACTTAGATCCTACTCCGCATATCCTCCCTGATTACATGCATTCTTTTATTAAATAATATTATTGACTACTCTGTGCCAGACACTGAGATAGGCACTGGCAATATAAAGATAATTAAGACATATATCTGTAGCTTGAAAGCAACTTAAACATCTATTGGGACGGTACTGGTTAAATAAAGTGCAGTACATTTAATAGTAGACTATTCCTCAAATGATAAAAATAATGAAGTTTATTTTATACTGGTATGGTACAGTCTCAAAGCTTTGTTGTTCAGGGGCAAAATATAAGGGAATGTATATACTATATGACCACTTGCATAAGAAAAAAATATATGTATACATACATACATACATATACCTGTTGGACTAGATTAACTGTGGAAAAATTCAGAAGAAACTGTAACAAGGGCCTAGGAAAAAATTGGATGACTGGAGGACAAGGGTAGAGGAGGGAAACTTATTTCTCATTGTATACTTTTCTGAGCCTTCTGTATTTTGAATGGTATTCATTAATTCCCTATTCAAAAATAATAAATTTTAAAAGAAAAATGTAGTCCCACCCTCAGAAACCTTAGCATACAGGCAAGACAGATATATAAGAAATAATGTAATAATAAATATATATATTGTGCACTATGGTAAAATATGTACCTGAAAGAAGGGAGAGGTCATTTTTCTCTAGAGCAGCAATGGATGGGAGGTCAGGGAGTGCTTCATAGAGGAGGTTACTTGAGGAGTAGTAATAGATTAAGGGTTGACTGGTTTCTCCCTGACACTCTGAGGAGGGGCAGCAGCAACATAGTTATAGACAGAAGACATAACCATCTCCTGGAACCTGCTAAACTTACATTTACTACTACAGAACCCAATGCTAATTCTTGGTATATCTGCCAGCTCCATTTCACCAGCATCTAAACTATATACATTTCTCACCTTTCCTCTTTCAGTCCCTCCCTCCCTCTCCCTTTCTACCCCTCTTCCTCTCTACCCCTCTCCCTCTCTCCCTGTTTCTCTCTTTTTTTGGTAAGATAAGGGTATGTATATCAACAAATTATGATTCAGTTGCAATTACATTAATTTTTTTATTGGGCAAAGTTGTTGGAGGTAAACCCAAACTCTGTTATTGAAAGAAATATCAGATGTTGCTTAGAGTTGTATGTTAGCACACATTTACAATAATATACCTTTTGTCTGGGCATGCTCACATGAGCAATCTTCCCATAGGTGGCAGAGTTACTTCTTTTGAATGGAGCTGATCCATTACTTAGAAGTGATGGTGGAAAGTGTCCTTTGGATGAGGCCAAAGATTCATGTATGAAGCGTCTCCTTGAGAAATATATTCCTAAACACCAAAAACCAGGTAAGATTAAACTGCCCTGTTATATCTGTTTATCATATTCATAGAGAGTTACAGAAATTGAATCTAGAATTATAGAAATTAAGTTTCTTTTCCTTCTTAGTTTTGAGAAAATCCATCCAGTGGTGTCCTTGCCCCATTCCTTTAATAAAGCACACTGACTTGTTTGCAAGTGCACATAATGGTAGGACTCTAAAAGAACAAAGAGAACAAAGAGAAATAATATCAAATGTACTTTTCACTGGTGCTTTGCATTGCAAACAGTTAAGAAAACTTTTATAAAGTTCTTTTTTTCCCTTACAATTTTTTGGCTGAATAACATGATATGATGTAAATTATATTTGGCTGTATCTTTCTCGATGAGTATGGCCAGGATTGTTTATTTCCATTTCTATTCCCTAACAATCTTTTCTTATGGCTGTATTTTTACCCTGTCATCCATTACACTGGTAAAAATTGAACTACAGGGCGCCTGGATGGCTCAGTTGGTTAAGCGACTGCCTTCGGCTCAGGTCATGATCCTGGAGTCCTGGGATCGAGTCCCACATTGGGCTCCCTGCTCAGCAGGGAGTCTGCTTCTCCCCCTGACCCTCCCCACTCACATGCTCTCTCTATCTCATTCTCTCTCTCAAATAAATAAATAAAATCTTTATTAAAAAAAAAAATTGAACTACAAAAGAACTCGATTTATGGTTGTCAATAAGAAGAATTTACATATATGGCACTTTCTTTATATTCTCCTTAATGTGTCTGTTAGATTTTTGGTAAGATCACAGCATTCTTCTGCTCAAGACCCTGCAGTGGCTCTCCATTTAATCTAGAAGAAATGTCAGTATCCTTATAGTGGCCCACAGGCCCCTATATCAGCTCTCCACCCTAATTAATTTCTTCTCCTACCATTCTCTACCTCTGTCACTAGACTTCAGTCACACTGGCCTCCTTGCTGTTCTTCAGATGGGCCTCCTCCACCTCCTTCAAGTCTTAGTTCAAATGTGATCTTCTCAGGGAGGCCTAGACCATCCTAGTTAATACTGCTGCAACCTGCCTCCTTCCCACCCTCACTGTACTAGTTATCTATCACTATGCAACAATTACCCAAAATTTAGCATCTTAAAACAACATTTATTATCTCTCAGAGTTTCTAAGGATTACAAGTCTGAAAGCCTTTCAAGTGAGTAACCAGTTCTGGATCAGGGTCTCTAATGGGTTGCAGCCAAGCTCTTAGTGAGGGATGGTCATCTCGAGGCTCAGCTAGGACAGGAAAATCCACTTTCAAGCTCACTCACATGGTTCTTGGCAGGCCTCAGTTCCTCACTGCTTGTTAGCTAGAGGCTTCAGTTACTTCTCACATGAGCTTTTTCCTTAGGCCTGCTGACAGCCTGGCAGCTGGCTCAGAGCAAGTGATCCAAGAGAGAGAAGGCACCCAAGACAGAGGCCACAAGCTTTCTGTAACTTAATCTTGGAAGCGATATACAACCAGTTCTGCCATATTCTATTTGTTCTAAGTAAGTCACTAAGTCTGGGAAGTTCTACCTTTTGAAAGGAGGAGTATCAAAAATTTTATGAACATATTATTCAAACTGCCACACTCATTCCAATCCCTCTTACCCTACTCTACTATTCTATTTATCCTTTTCCCATAGCACTTAACACCTTTTAACACATTGGACAGTTTGTTTATTTTTTATTCTCAGTCTTTCCCCAAGAATCTAAGCTCCATGAAGGAAAGGATCTTTATTTAGTCTGGTGATGAGTACTAAAATGCCTTGTATACAGTAGGCATTCAGTAAATATTTGTTGAATAAGTAGTGTGTTAGTCCTTTTAAACACAACAAACAAAACAAATTCTTTACCTTCAAGAGATGTGTATGTGCTTCATTCAATTTTATTAAACTATATTTTATATTTTTAAATATTTATGTATTTGAGAGAGAGAGAGCACGAGGCAGGAGCAGAGGGAGAGGGAGAAGTAGACTCCCCGCTGAGCAGGGAGCCTGACATGGGGCTCTATCACAGGGCCCCGGGATCATGACCTGAGCTGAAGGCATATGCTCAACTGACTGAGCCACCCAGGCACTCCATTAAACTATATTTTAATAAAATTTTCCCTAAAGAGGTAACTGTTTAAATGCTATTGACTAAGGACTAAGACTTGGATTAAAACAGCCTACTTTAGAGGGGAAGAATGAAGGGGGGGAAATCGGAGGGGGAGACGAACCATGAGAGATGATGGACTCTGAAAAACAAACTGAGGGTTCTGGAGGGGAGGGGGGTGGGAGGATGGGTTAGCCTGGTGATGGGTATTAAAGAGGGCACGTTCTGCATGGAGCACTGGGTGTTATGCGCAAACAATGAATCATGGAACACTACATCAAAAACTAATGATGTAATGTATGGTGATTAACGTAACAATAAAAAACAAAAACAGCCTACTTTATAATAAAGAGATAACATCATTGATAATTAAAGTCCACCAAGAGGTAATTAATTAATGGTTCTTTAGAACAAAAGACTTCTTCCCCTTTAGCCCAATCTCATCAGAAAATAAGAGGGACAGACTCCACCTTGTTGAGGCCAGGTCTATAAAAGCACATTGAGATAGATTATTATATTCATATTTATATAAACTGTATAGATTATTGCACCCATATTTACATTTCAAGCTATATGAAAAATTGCAGATATTCAGTTGGAGGCAAAAGTATGTGTATTTTTATGTTTTTTGTTTTGATAATCTGATTAATTGCTTGACTTCTCTATTTTATGGTAGCATGCATTGTTTTGCTCTGCTGAGAGTGCTTTCTCCAGCATTTTAGCCCTTTCTCCAAATCCAGAATCTCCTGTTCACCATTGCCCACTTCTGACCTATACTTACCCAAGGGAATTTCATTCAGGGAAGGAATCCCAAGCCTTTCTTCTTAGGAGTTAGCTCCCACTCTTCTTTAGGGAGGCAATTTATGAGGTGGGCTGGATTATCGTGCTTCATCAGGTGGTTTGAATATTTCTTAAGTTTGAACTTTCAAAGTCTGTCATTAATTATCAGCTTACTTATCAATATAAATGAAAAAATTAGTTTACTTAAATAAAGAATATCAAACAGAGTATTTGTTTTTAAATTTCAGTTGAAGAGCTTTTAATTACGGGAATGATGGATAAAGGACCTTCCTCATGCAATATATATTTGGTGCTTTTCTGTTGTAGAGTACAATACATCTACTTTGGTATAGGACTAGAGTTCATTCTTACTAATTTTATAGCCTGGGGTAAATTAACACTCTCAGTTTTCTCATCTGTAAATGTGGGCTTATAATATCTACTCCTCTACCTACATATCTGTGGGATTGTTATTGTGAGGATTAGAGTTGATGTATGTAAAATACTTCAATACAGTATCTTACATATGACAGAGCTTGGAGCAACAGAGTGAAAAGAATTACAGCTACGTCACTAAAATTCACCACTTCAGAATTTATATCTGTGTAGTTTTTTTTTTTTTTAAGTTGGTTATAATAGAGCATATAGACTCTTAAAACTGAGATGGGCATGAAGGAGGGCACGTGGTGTAATGAGCACTGGGTGTTATATACAACTGATGAATAACTGTGCTCTACATCTGAAACTAATGATATACTATATGTTAATTAATTGAATTTAAATAAGATGAATAGAAAAAAAAAAGATGTTAGTTGAAAGATGCTTTCTATACAGAAAACAAAACAAAGTGAGAGGGGAGAAAAGCCCCTTTCTTGCTTCCAGATTCTCTTAGGAACCATTCCCCAAATGGTGGTTCCTGTAAAACATTCTTCTGCTTTTTTATTTAAAACATTTTTTTTATTTATTTATTTTTAAAGATTTTATTTATCTGAGAGAGAGACAGAGATAGCGAGAGAGAGCAAGAGTGGGGACAAGAGGAAGAAGTAGGCTCCCCACTGAGCAGGGAACCAGATGCAGGGCTCAATCCCAGGACCCTGGGATCATGACCTGAGCCAAAGGCAGATGCTTAGCCCACTGAGCCACCCAAGTGCCCCCTGCTCTTCTATTTAAGAACCAAAGTTAGGAGAAGGCACACAGTCCTTTTTGCTCTTGAAAAATAATAATAACAAAATTAATGATGAAGCATTTTCTTTGTGCCAAGAACTCCTCTAAAGTCTTTACATGGATTATCTTATTTAATCCTCATAACAATTCTATAAGATAAGGACTGTTACTACTTTGATTTTATGGAGCTGAGGCAGAAATACTAAGAAACTTAACCCAGGGTCACCCAGCTGCTAAGCGAATGAGTGACGATAGAAACTCAGGAATCGGTTCCAGAGACTGTGCTCCCAGCTCCTTTGCTTCGTTGAAGGACATTCTGTGTGTCAACTCTCCTGCATGAGGTGTATAGGTAAATGCCAAGCCTCATTATGTACATTATAATTTGATTGCTGTCATGAAAACTACTCCCAAGAAATAAAATGTTCTTTTTCCCAGCTACATCCCTGTTAAAATATTTTTAAATTTCTAGTTCATAATGTATTTAAAGAATTTTCATTCATTTATTCCTTCCTCTATTAAATAATCATTGAATACCTCCTATGTGCAAAGCACTGTTTCTAGGTTTTTATCTTTTGTGGCCAAATGCATATGTAGGTAACTAATTCCACCTCTAGTATTTAAAAGAGACACTAAAGTACTTTTTTTTTTTTATTATCAACCTAGGTATATTTTGTTCAAACCGTCTTTTTTTGTCTTACTCATTCTCAAGAGCAACCTTTTCCCTGCATGTATGTTTCACTTTTAAGAGAATGAAGCATTCAGGGACGCTTGGGTGGCATAGTTGGTTAAGCGACTGCCTTCGGCTCAGGTCATGATCCCAGGGTCCTGGAATCGAGTCCCACATGGGGCTCCCTCCTCAGCGGTGAGCCTGCTTCTCCCTCTGCCTGCCGCTCTCCCTGCTTGTGTTCTTTCTCTCTGACAAATAAATAAATAAAATCTTTAAATAAATAAATAAATAAAGAGAATGAAGCATTCAAACTAGAACCTTATTAAGCAGACATATTAGGAAATGATAATCCAGTAAATTATGAAAGAATCTTACTTTCTAAAAGTAGTTTGCTAACAGTTGTGTTTCTGGATGTATCTATGGGGAATGTTAAAATAGTGAGTTTATTGCCAGCCTTTGGTATTACTTTGTTGGAGCCATATTGCTTTTCCTACAGAAATGTTTTCTGCTTTCTCAAGATAGTATGGGGCTTCTAAAACATAGGAGAACTATCAGTTATAGAATGTTATATGTGCCAATTTGAATGGAAAATGTTTGCATAATTTCACTTACTTCTCTGGTTTTCTCAGGGCAAAGGACAGGTGGGTTTTAGAAATCTAGAGTCTGACCACTGGAGGCTATTTTCTTTGATTTTCTCTTTTTGTTTACAGCTCAAAAGAACAGCACCGACCCGTTAGACATAGAGGATGCACACCAGCACAAGGTATAGCTCTGTTTAGCAATAAACATGTTTATGGAATGAACCTGCTGCTTATTTTATAGATAATCAGAGTGGAAGGAAAGATGCCGAAGCATTCATTCATCAGGAATAGTGACTTCACCTTTACTTTTAAGAAACTTAAGAATAATTACATGAGAATCAGAGGGTTCTGGGCTGTTAGTTTGCGAAGCAATTGAGTAAATATAGCTTGTCTCAGCACACTGACGTATCAGTAGCCATTTCCTTTGTCCTCCTCTTCATGGAGCCAGGAGGTTTATCAACCATGTCGAATTTCCTCTGGCCTAAGCACAGTACAAGAGCCAAAGGTGTTGATCCATTCCTTCAAATTTTATATGGTGGGCAGTTACTCTTCATCTGGTGCTTGAGTTGTGGTGAGAGAGAGGAAGTGGTGTCCCTGTTTTAATCTTAGCAGCCCACAATAATTTTTTCATGCAGATCAGTTTGGGAGCATATCTCTCTTCTTGTTTTTAAATTCCTTCTTCTGCTGCCCTACCTATAGTCTGTCACAGACACTAGATGAAAGAACTCTCTTAATTCTAGCTGTATCTATATAACAATTAGGAGAGGAGAGGGTCTTGAAAGCATTCTTGTTTGATTATGCTTAAAGCCCATAAAAATTAAGTAGATTAAATTTTTTTTATGCTTAATGAGATTAATACTGCTAAATACTGGCAAAAACAAATTAAAATGTGAAGCAGAAAATACAGATTAGTACACATACTGAGTCTTAGTCTACTACATTTGCCTTTTTCTATTAGTCTTTTTAAAATATCAGGTTGTATATATCCCATCAGGCCCTGTGGTTAGATCAAATCACAAAATTGAATGGAGTAATGGTTTGATTTATCAATAATCCTGAATTAATTGAGTATAGAACTACAGCTGAAAATTAAAGCTAACTATATGTTTTATTTCTTTAGAAACCAAAATTCAGTTCTAAAAATCTCATTGGGTTTGTTTGTAATGAAAATTCCAACAGACAGAAGTCAGAACTTGAAAAAGTTGATAAAGGAAGTAAAGGAGGATTATTTATAAATAAAGAAGATGTATATGAACCTTACCAAAAAGATTCCAAAGACACAAAATTTGGTAAATCCAAGCATAAACAATCAACTCTTAACCAAATACACTCTACTAGGGGACTCAGAAAGAAGAGTCTTCAGAATGTCAAAGGTCCTAACACAAATGTGTCTAATGATAAAGGAAGAAGAAACACACAACATAAAAGAACTCAAGTGGATGATGCAAAACAAGAAATACACATTCCAAGAAAGATAATACCTCTTTCTTCTGTCAGAAGAAGAAACAGATTGGTTAATGGTCAGCAAGATAATCTCCAAGCCTTTGATGACCTTCCAGAAAAGTCACATAAACTTTTTAGCCCACCTCTGTCAAGCCTGAAAAATGGATTAGGTAACAATATTGAGGCTTGTTCAATTCCCAGAGAGACACATACCCAGAGCCTAGATTTATCAGATAATCAAGAAATAAAATTCTCAGAATCCACTGACCAAGAGGAAGCTGTTCTTTTCTCAGGACTTTCCTTACAGAAAGAAATCAAGTTACCACTTGTTACTACAGATCAGCAGTCTCACACTCACCAAGAACAGCAGCACATTAGCCCTGATAAATCCCCTGAAAACAGTAACTCGGGTCAAAAAGGTGAGAGCCTTCATAAGTGGGAACATTCTTTTGCATCCTTTATAAAGGAAAATTTTAATAATGTTGATGAGGATGATTGCTTTACCTCTGAGAAGACTATAGCATGTAAAAGACCGGTGTGTTTTACAGGTTGCAAAAACCACTGTAGTTATAACGAGAATATAACAAAGAGAGAAGAAATGGATTTTCATCAGTTTTTCCCTTCTGAAAACCATTTTTCACAGGAAAATGAATTAAAAGCATACAGTCTAATCATACTTCCACAACAGGAAGCTGTTAATCTTTCTGATTCAGATAATACAATAGGTCCTGAACAACATATTGCCAATTATGAGCAATGCGCATGTGAAACTTCTTTTGATCACTCACATGGCAATCCTGAGCATACTTCCCTAGCTTGTCCAAGAACATTGTCAACACAGGAAGCTTCAAAGTTGACTAGTCATGTGAAGCTATTCAAAAGGTCTCAAGATTTTAGCTCCAGAGCACCGACTCCTTTAATGGATCAAACAGATACACATATTGTGGAAAAGGTAAATGAGGGAGAAGACACTAAAAGGAATTACAGTGATGAAAGCCAGAAAACAAGTTCTTCAAATGGGCCTTCATCCACAGTTGTTAATTCTCAAGTAATAGAAACAACTACAGTTAAAAAAAGGAAACAAGATCTTCCAGAGAGCAAAACCATACATGATACAGTTTTTTATTCCACTGACAATACCAGTAAAGAATTGGCCAACATCTCACAACTTAGACAGAAAGAAGAAAAGGAAATTTCTCATAAACCAGGTATTAGTAGTATATTGCTTGCTTTGTACACATCTCCTGTAGATTTACTTATTTTATAGAAATTTCTAACTGAATTCCACTGAACTTAGCCAAACTGACAAGAATGAGGACATGTGGACTATAATTTAGGGATATTGTTAGTTAAGTAATATTGTTTACTTTGAAAACCAAACCGTTATTATCAAAGATTGTTGCTAAATTGATATTTACAGAAGTTAATAAACAATATTTCTACCAATTTTTATGTTTCTTTTTAATATAGCACTTATTTAATATCAGTTAACCTAACATTTCCATAGCAGGAAATTGTTAGCTCTGTTGATTTCAGTGATTCACTGTATTCCCATCAGAATTGCATCCAGCAAACTTTATTATATAAAAACATTATTTATTTATTTATTTATTTTTAAGATTTTATTTTTAAGTAATCTCTATACCCAATTAGTGCTCTAACTCACAACTCTGAGATCAAGGGTCATATGCTCTACCAACTAAGGCAGCCAGGTGCCCCTAAAAGCATTTTTAAAGGGTTTCATTCCCTTAAAAAATAAATAAATAAAACAAAATAAAATTAAAAAAAAATCAATCCAGCTAGGAACAGAAATTTGGAACAGTTATGAGGCTAGACTCTTTTCTAATCATATAACCAGTAACGAGAACTGCAACACTGAGGTTGCAAAATGTTTGTTTTTCAGATGAGGAATTAACTAATAATATCAATGGAGATGAAAGCACTATGAGAAATGGTGAGAAAAAAGAAAAAACAAATTCTGAAATTTGCATGTCTAATATCCAAGAACACAAAAAAGTTCAGAATTTCAGAAAAAGGCAAAATTTCTTGAAAGCTACCTGCAGCCAAGGTTTGTATTCCTATATCTGTATAGGTAAAAGTTGACATGATCAAGCCCAGCAATTCTAAACTTTCAGATTTACTGTTGGTTTTTTTTTTTCATTCACTAAGTTATAAGATTATTTCAGCTCTATTTTTTAGATTGTTTTACTATAAAGTACCACATGAGAGTTTGTTAGTCTTCAAATACATTCTTGTCATGTTTCTGCCTATGACTTCTAGTTTTAAATATTAGAGGAGGTAAGATAAAGAGAGAGACAGCAAGAATATTGAGTGGGGGCAGTGCATCTGAATTTTGCCAGATCCTTTAGATACTTCCGTTGAGCCCTTTCACCATAAGGCAAATTAAAGAATGGCCACTGGTTTCTTTTTGTCAGATGAATGAACTGCATGTGTTTGGCTGTATGGACAAGTTAACTATCCTTTAACAGTTCTTGGAGCTAGTTCTGTGGTGAACAATAGGCTAAGCCAGGCCACTTCAGGTTAAATGGTAAATATGAAAAGTTCATTTATCTATCGTCTATTAAGAGGTAGGAAGGACACTGGATTAGGCATTCTCTGTGAACCTTCTCCCATTGTCCCCCTCTCATATAATCTAAATAATCTCATATAATCTAAAGCCCTTCTTACACATCCATCCTGTAGTGGGTTGAATAGTGGCCCTCCAGAACATGTCCATGTCCTAATCCCTGGAACCTGTGATAATATCTTATATAAAAGAGTGAATTTTACCTAAATAGAAAAAGAATCTCTGCAGATGTAATTAAGGATCTTGAGTTTCCAGAGAATAAAAAAAAAAAAAAAATAGATCACATACAAAGTAACTGAAAGCTGAGTATGTCTTAGTAGCATTATACTTTATTAATAAATAATATTGTTGATACCAATTATTAAATATATTATCAATTAATATTTATTAATTTGTTAATAAAGTATAATGCTATTAAGAAGTACTCAGCATTAACTGCAGTGGACTTTATGAAGAAGTTTTTTGTGAAGTTAGTGTGAGTCCTATTTGCTTCCTTTCCAGTTTTTTCCAGATTTTATTTTAAAATTTTAGTTACATGCTATAGAAATTTATGATGACAGTAAAATGGAATAATTTTTGAGTTTTTGCCCCAAAATGTTTACCATGTGCCTACCTTCTTTGCTACAACACACCATGAACTAGGTGAGAGGATTTGTACCACTCACAGTAACAATTATTAGAGAGATTTTTCAATTCAAACTTGCAAACTACAGGTCTGCTGTTTTGGATATTTCATAATTTTAAAATATATTCTCTCTATATGTATATATAATAAATATATATAATAGATATATCTTTATTCTTTGAATAAAGAATTTCTGAGTACAGATTTGTAAGAGCAGTATGATTTTTTTTTTTTTTTTGGCCAAAATTAGTAAACTTTATTTAAACTTCAAAAAATAAAATAACAGACAAAAGGCAGCTTTAGCTTTGTTCTTCCCGAGGATCAGATATAATGACCCAGAGCAGGAACTACCCCTAAGAAGTTAAAATACCCTTTACCCCCAATCAAGCCACAGGCAAGGAGGGAGCCTCGATTTGGGGACAGGCCTGGGGCGGGTGGGGTAGGAAGGAGAACACCACAGCCAGGCGAGTGGCTTCTGAGACAGCATGAGTGGAGAACAAGACAAGAAGCCCCAGCGGAAACGGGACCAGAACGTCAACGAGGAACTTTGTCACAGGTGCTATGTACAAGGGAGGCGGGCTGGGGGCCTGCGCCCCACAAGGGCACCACCCGGGCTGCCCCGCGCCTCGCGCACCCTCAGTTCTCCTCATCACTGTCGTCCGGGCTGATGGCCGGACTGGTGAGGCTGTAGGTGGGGCTGGTGGGGGAATAGCCAGGGGAAGTGGGGGAGTAGGTAGAGCCTTTGGGGGAGGTGGGCGAGTAGGTGGGGCTGGTGGGCGAGTAGGTGGGGCTGGTGGGCGAGTACTTGGGGGAGGGGAATGTAGATGTGAGGCTGTCAGTCTCCCCTGTGATTCACATTAACTGAAGAATCCATCTTTTAGAGAGTAATTCTCTAAACTTTTTATCTCTTGCCCTGAAACTATGTGCCTAGTTGCTGTGGCATTTAGGAAATAGAACAGGGAGAGAGTCTTAAGGTTTAATGCAGTGGTTCTTAAACCTTATCTTGCATCAGAATCACCTGGAAAGTTTGTTAAAACACAAATTACTGGGCTCTACCCCCAGAAAGTCTGAACATTAGGTGTATTATCTATTAGTGTATTACACATTTGCAAACTTAGCAGTTTAAAACAACACACATTTTTTTCTTATAGTTTCTGTAAATCAGGAATTGGGCATGGCTTAGGGAGATCTTCTGCTCAGGATATTTCATAGGCTACAATCAAGGTGTTGGCCAAGACTGGGGTCTCATCTGAAGGCTCAACCGGGGAAGGATCCATTTTCAAGCTCATGTGGTTGTCAGAATTCTCTTCCTTGAGGGTTGTGGCCACCTTGTGGTCATCCTCGGTTTCTTCCTTCATGAGCTTTTCCAGTGTGTCCTCTTGGTTCATCAAAACATGCAAGCTGAAGGTGACAGAGCAAGTTTGCTAGCAAGACAGAAAATGTTACAATCTCTTATAACCTAATCAAGGAAGTGAAATACCCTCAATATTGAGGTATTCTATTGGTTAGAAGCAAATTCTTCAAGAGGAGTGGATGATACAAGGCCATAAATACCAGGAGATGGGGATCATTAGGAGTTACCTTAAAATCTGTCCTCCACAGTAGGCTTGTGGGGTGGGCTGGAGAATTAGCATTTCTTTTTTTTTTTTTTTAATTTCATTTTATTATGTTACGTTAGTCACCATACATTACATCATTAGTTTTTGATGTAGTGTTCCATGATTCATTGTTTGTGTATAACACCAAGGGCTCTATGCAGTACATGCCCTCCTTAATACCCATCACCGGGCTAACCTAGCCCCCCCACCCCCCTTCCTTCTAAAATCCTCAGTTTGTTTCTCAGAGTCCATAGTCTGAGAATTAGCGTTTCTAACAAGTTTCCCAGGTGACACTGACACTGCTAATCTGGGACTACATTTGAGGACTGCTGGTTTAATGAATATTCTTTTCTGTTTCATCACTCTAATCCTCTACTTTGCCTTCCTTGTGTCTCACTCTGAAGCTTCTTTGATGTGATTTCTACAGAAAATAATTCTCCAGTTTCATGGCTTGGGGATGGGGACCTTGGGTAAGAGGAAAGGTTGCCAGACAATTCAGGGTTGGGGAAGGGAACTTGGAGTCCCAACTTTTGTATATATATACTTTCATTCAGTCTCCATGTTTCTAGCCCAGTTCCACAAACACTGCCTTTCACTGCACTTGATGCCCCCAAGTGCTGGGTTTAGGTGGGCTCTCTCCCTAATTCTTTTTGCTGGCATTTGGGTTGAGGCATTTCCCCTACTTCAAGGTGGAAACTCTTCTCCCGCAGCGATTTTCCGGTTCCCAAAAAGTTGTTGAAGTCTTTGTCTCCTATTATTTCCTCTTCTATTTTCTTTTTATGGTATTAAAAAAAAATGTTTTACGGGGCGCCTGGGTGGCTCAGTCGTTAAGTGTCTGCCTTCGGCTCAGGTCATGATCCCAGGATCCTGGGATTGAGTCCCACATCGGGCTCCCTGCTCGGTGGGAAGCCTGCTTCTCCCTCTCCCACTCTCCCTGCTTGTGTTCCCTCTCTCGCTCTCTCTCTGTTAAAAAATAAATAAAATCTTTAAAAAAAATGTTTTACTATCATTTTAGCATGGTTTGGGGACGAAATTGAGGGGAAAACATGGTCCTTTTTTTTTTTAGCTCCAATTTAAGTCTCTCTAACTTGTGGTACAAGAAGATTTTTAAAAAAATCTTTGGATAATGATGTTGTATTGCATGTTTTTTGAAAGAAAAATAATCCATTGGGCCATGGTTCAGTTTTTGGTGTCTTTTGTGATCAGAAACACACTCACTGGGATAGAGAAGAGCTATAGAAAGAGATGTTTTATAAAATCACAATTTGTTTTAAGAAAAATTTTGTCCATTGTTAAAGGACTACTGAGAGTGAAATGAGGGTAGAACTGAAGCAAGTTTGTTTTAATCAAGCTCATGGTAGGGTGACTAAACAGCTGTTGGAATGAATGCAAAGTAATGTACTTAGATGCTCTACAATTCCTTCACAAGTTATATTTTAAAACAGTAATAGCAATGATGATATTGATATATGTTTTGTATAGTGCACCCTACTTAGGATATTTGAGGAAGCTGCTGTGTATTTTCTAAGCTCCTTTGTAATGATCAGCATTTGACAGAAAAGAAGCCTCAGTTTTACTTGGCAAATTTACAGAAGTAAAAACAGCTGGGATCAATAAGAGGAATGCCAGAGGGGAAAGCCAGCTTCATTTGGCTGCCAGAAGAGGAAATTTGACTCTGGTGAAGGCTCTAATAGAATCTGGGGCAGATGTGAATCTAAAAGATAATGCAGGTTTGGATTCTTGAAATTTTAATTGTGTTTATAACTTGAACTCACTGAAATACACATTTCATCCACCCTTCCCCGGTTTTGATCATGGCTGCTAACTTTGAACTGTTTTTTTTAAAATATATTATTTAGTTGAATAGTTAAATTTATCTTGGTTTTCACCAGTTGCTAAAATAACCTCCTCTGAAACAGTTTTTAACATACATGTGGGAGCATTCAGAGGAAGTATACAGAATGGGGAGTAAAGGGAGCTTTATTTAGGTCTTTTTCTTGGAGATCTGAATACTAAACTCTGACTTTGGAGAGAGTGCCAATTTTTTCCCATTTCCCTATCCCTTCTCTTTCTCCTCTCTTTAAGTTATTCATTGTTTCTCTCTTTCCTTATTTTTATTTTCAGCCTCCATTTTTAAATTGATCTAACATTTTGCTTGAGCACAAAAAAATCTTGTGTGAGGAGTTAACAGGGAAAAACTCAAAAGATTGATTTCAAGAATCGTATGTCATTTTAGAGGGATATACGACAGTGCAGTGATACAAATGGGGAAGGCAGACTTGATCTTACTCTATTTTAATATCTGAGTTGAAACAAATTGACATGATTAGTTTTACTCTAGTCCCATTATATTTTATATTCTGTGAGTCTTCTGTTTTGGCCCTTGGATCAACAAATATTTTTGATGAGATTGGTTTTCAAAATTGAAACATTTCAAGGCCATAGTTTTCAATATTATTTCTTGTCTAATACTTAGTATATACATTTGAATCAATATAGATATTCATTGCATTAGTGCAAATAAGCTTAATAATGAAGATAGTACATGAATGTTGATTTGTAAGCAGCAGCTTGTTTTGTTTTTTTCTTTTTTCCTTTTTTAGGTTGGACACCACTTCATGAGGCATCTAGTGAGGGATCTAATGATATAATTGTAGAGTTGTTAAAAGCTGGTGCTAATGTTAATTGTGAAAATCTAGATGGGATTAATCCCTTACATGATGCTGCTGCCAACGATCATTTAAAGGTACAGTGCACATCAGACTGGGTTCCTCTTACTTTTTCTCATAGAAATGAGTGAAGAAAATTAAGGTATTTCAAACTGAGCACTAAAGTAATTCCTTAAAATAAATGATTTTTAAAACCTACTTAAAATTTTAAACAAAGATAGGATATTGTGTATAGATTGGAAAATCATATTAACTAATGAATTGTTTTTCCATTGTCTCTACCTCATAAAATTCATGTAAGTCAGAATAAAATGAAACGTCTCAGGGTAAACGTAGGCTATAAATCTAATACATTCCATTTTTAATTGTCTTAAATGATTTGCTGTTGTGATAAAAGAGTCTAATTATAGTGATAATATATGTTGACAGATGTTTTTTAACTCAAAATTTCTCAGTGGGTTTGAGGTTTCAAAGAAATGGGTAAAAATGCATGTTCCTGAGGGTTTGTTGTATATTTTTCTCCTTTGTTTTTCTTAATCAGACAGCCATCACAAAAGAAAATTACTAAGGTCATTATTTCAGTAACACTGAATTTCAAATCTAGACCTTAAAATCCTTAAGATTTTTAAACTCATCTTTGACAAATCTGAGAAGACTTTTATTGTTATCAGTAGGCATGTAGACTTCAGGACTAATCATTGGCTTTGAAAAAATAGTGAAGGAAACCACCACCAATAACAACATATGAAACCAAGGTTCATATAAAAAATACCTTGAACCCCTCCCTAACACCAATTTATCTGTCTCTAGATATTTTTAAGACCCTGGTGATTTTTTGTTAATTTTATGAAAACATATCCCCACTGTTTTCAGCCTAAAGGTAGTCACATGAAGGAATAGTATTGACTTTATGATTTGCAGCAATAAGAGATATAAACTAATGATTAAGAATAATATCAGAAAGGGGCACATGGGTGGCTCAGTTGGTTAAGCATCCAACTCTTGATCTCAGCTCAGGTCTTGATCTCAGGGTTGTGAGTTCAAGCCCCGCATTGGGCTCCATCCTGGGCGTGGAGCCTACTTAAAAACAAAACAATATTAATAATACCAGATGGGTGGACTAATGTCCAGAGTGGCTTCTTTTGAGCAAAGAAGCTCTTTGGCCTTTAAGATATTTAAATTAAAAAAGAATCTCAAGGTTATGTGATCATGAAATGGAAGAAGGGAAACAGGAAGAATCATTAAATTAATGAGCTTACTGGTTATATGTACAGGGAAAAGACCACTTAAAGTGAAACCACTTAAATAAGGGCCAAAATTCTGTAGTAGGAAAATCACATTTTTAGACATTATCCTGAAAAATGCAATATAAAACAAAGAAAATAAGGAGGTCCCTAATACCACCCATTCATTTGGGAATTGATTAGAAGGACTTTCAGAACTCAGCATACAGTTGTGCTCATAGCTAAGATTTCTTTTTTCTTTCCTTTTTTTTTTAAGATTTTATTTGTTTGAGAGAGCATAGGCGGAAGGGTAGAGGGAGAGGGAGAAGCAGTCTCCCCGCTGAGCAGGAGCCCCACGTGGGCTTCAGTTGCATTAGCCATATTTGAAGTACTCAATAGCTACATGTATCATATTGTATTGGAGGTGGGTACCATGGTGGAAATGTACATTAGAATGCTTCCATTGTCACAGAAAATTCTGTTGGACAGCTATGGTCTAGAGCAGGGATTGATAAATATTTCTTGTAAAGAGCTAGACAATAAACAGTTTAGTTTTCCTGGGCCACACAGTCTGTATCGTAGCTACTCAACTGTTGTAGTGAAAAAGCAGTCATAGACAATATGTAAATGAGTAAGTATGGATATGCTCAAATAAAACTTTATTTATAAAATCAGACAGCAGGGGGCACCTGGGTGGCTCAGCCGTTAAGCGTCTGCCTTCGGCTCAGGTCATGATCCCAGAGTCCTGGGATCGAGCCCCACATCGAGCCCCGCATCGGGCTCCCTGCTCGGCGGGAAGCCTGCTTCTCCCTCTCCCACTCCCTCTGCTTGTGTTCCCTCTCTCGCTGTGTCTCTCTCTGTCAAATAAATAAAATCTTAAAAAAAAAAAAAAAAAAAAAAACAGACAGCAGACTGGATTTGTCCCATGGGCCAGAGTTTGCTATTGCTTGATCTAAAGAATCACTTGAGTGTCTTCACATAAGTGACAGTATAGACGAAGTTTGCATTTAGAGTAAACTTCCATATCAATATTGCCTTTATTTTAAGGAGAAATGTTTTATTTGAAAAGAAGGAAGTAGTATTTTTAAGGATATTTTTGTTCCTTGGATACTGATATATTGCCAACATCTTTCCTCATATCTTCATTAATTTTCCTTCCATGTGACGGTTCTTCTATCATTGGCTCATTTTACTTCTAATTTCTTCCCTTTTGTCTTTATTTCTTTATCTTGAGATAGAATATTGATAGATAACCTAGAAAAATTAAAGAGAGAGCGCAGGAGAGGTAAATATATGGTATCATAGACCTAATCAATATCAATTCTATTATAGCCTATACATTTAATTCTTAGATTTTTTTTTTTTTTTACTCTTGCATTACTGCATGGAAAGTTATTCAGTCACCTATTTTCCCAACTTTTAACTTCTTTTTATATCTTAATTTCTGTTTTAAGTTATTTTCCAAAATGGTCATGTATTTTATCTTATAAAGCAAAGAGGATAAAAAGATAAGGAAAAGAAGAGTGAGAGGAAGGGACGCCTGGGTGGCTCAGTCGGTTAAGTGGCTGCCTTTAGCCCACGTCACGATCCCAGGGTCCTGGGATCGAGTCCCACATCAGGCTCCTTGCTCAGCTGGGAGCCTGCTTCTCCCTCTCTCTCCCTCTGCTTGTGCTCTCTCTGTCAAATAAATAAAATCTTAAAAATAAATAAATAAAATTAAAAAAGAGTGAGAGGAAAAGAAAAGGGAAAAAGATAAAAAGTGGGTGGGGATGGATATCTACTTTTGTACAGGAAAGACTAGAAAGGACAAGATATACCCTCCCACCTTAACAACTTGAAAGGTGAACAAAATACATAAAATAGCATTGTACAAAATGCAGCACAGGGCAGCAATCCTTGAGAGAAGGGAAGCAGATGAATCCTGTGGTTGCCTGACTGTATGGACTAGAGGGGGTTTCCAGGCATAGAAAGAGAAAAAACAAACAGTCCTATGGTCTCAAGTTCAGAAGACAGAATTTGGAGTTTAAAAGGCTCAACAGGTAGAATTTATGGGGCAAAATTACAGATAGAAAGGATCTGCATACAGAGAACTTTCCAGAAATTTGAAGGAGAATCCCCTTGATTTTTTGGCTAATCTACAAATATGTTTGAGAAAACTCTGTAAGATTAGGCAAAGAGCCAACAGGAAGGATTGACAGAACCATTGCTGGAGGTTATAGAGGGCTGAGTAGTTTATGTTTCCACCAGCCAGAATGGCAGGAACTCTTAAAACATGGAAGCATCAAATAGAGGGTATTTCTTGCATAGTTGAGGTAAATTGGTACTAAAAGTTTCTCTGAACTAACCTTAAAATTTGAAAGAAAATGTCAAAAAGATCATAGTAATTCCAGTAACCTAAACATGTCCCAGAACAAAGCCCAACAACATCCAAAGGAATACAATGAAATTCAGCACTAAGCAATATAAAAATCACAGTGTTTATCAATCAATCCAAAATTTTTTAAATAAAAAAGTACAAAATATTATCCATAAGCAGGAGATTTAAAAATGATCATTTAAAAGAGACCCAGAAATGACACAGATAATAGAATTAGCAGAAAAGGATGTTAAACAAATATTATAACTATATATATTCCACATGGTAGGCAGAATTCTAAAATGGTCCTCAAGATTCTTATTCACTGGCCTATACACACTATGTATAATCCCCTCCCTTTCAGTGCGGATGGGCCCAACCTAATGAGGTGAACCCTTTAAAAGAAGGAAAGCATCAGAGAAAGCCATGTGGCAAAGAACTGCAGAAGCTTCTAAGGAGCTGAAAGCAGTCCCCAACCCACAGCCAACAAGAATACAAGAACTTTATAAACTTTCAAGGAAATGAATTATACCAAAAACTAGTGAGCTTGGAAAAGGACCCTAAACTTAGATGATAATCAGTCTATGCTGACACTTTGATTTCAGCGTGGTGAAGACTCTGAGCAGACAACACAGCCACTCCATGCTCAGATTTCTGATCTACAGAAAAAGTGTGAGATAATAAATTTATATTATTTTAAGCTATCACATTTGTAGTAATTTGTTATGCAGTAAAAGAAAACTAATACACTCTCTTATGTTCAAGGAGGTGGAGGAAAACAGAAACATGATGGGAGAAGAAATGGAAGATATAAATAAGACTTAAACTACTAGAGATGAAAATAAAACATGTGAAGTGAGATATTTACCAAATGGCTTAGTTAACAGCATATTAAATACTGAAAAGTATTTAAGCTGTGGATTTGAAGATAAAGCATTAGAAATTATCCAAAATAAAACAAGAAAGACTGAGAGAACAAACAAAACAAAGACAAAGTAAGAAAACCTCGGTATCCTATAGGGTAATCTCAAGTTATATAATATACTTGCAAGCTTAATCCCCGAAAGAGGAGGGGTCAGAAAAAATACTTGGAGAATAAAGACCAAAATTATCCAAATTTGATGAAAACCATAAACCCACAGAACCAAAAATCTCACCAACCCTTCAGTAAAAGAAAAATGAAGAAAACTGCACCAACACATAACAAAACCAAATTGCTGAGAATCAGAGAAAAAAGGGAAAAATATTTTATTTAGTTAGTTAGTTTTATTCTCATAAAATATATTTATTAAAGTATCACTATCAACATAGTACAATAAAATAGTACATAAAGGGAGACAATTTAATTGATGCCACCAACCAAGTCATCATGTATCCTACAAGAAAAATATACTTCTAAGCATTAATAAATGATCATTACAATAAAAATAAAGATACACAATAAAAGGAAAGATATACCATGTTCAAGAACTGGAAGAATTAACATTGTTAAAATGTACATGCCACTATTTTTTTTATTTAAATTCAATTAGCCAACAAAGTACACAAAATATACATCATTTTCAGATGTAGTGTTCAATAATTTATCAGTTGTGTATAACACCCAGTGCGCATTACATCACACACCCTCCTTAGTGCCCATCACCCAGTTTCCCCACCTCCCCACCCATCTCCCCTCCAGCAACCCTCAGTTTGTTTCCTATGACTAAGTCTCTTACGGTTTTTCTCCCTCTCTGATGACTTCCCATTCGGTTTTCCCTCCCTTCCCCTATGGCCCCCTGTGCTGTTTCTTACATTCCACATATGAATGAAACCATTGAAACCATTTGATAATTGTCTTTCCCTGATTGACTTATTTTGCTCAGCACATAATACCTTCCAGTTCCATCCACGTCAATGTAAATGGTAAGTATTCATCCTTTCTGATGGCTGAGTGGTATTCCATTGTATATATATACCACATTTTTATCCATTCATCTGTTGATGGACATCTCAGCTCTTTCCACAGTTTGGCTGTTGTGGACATTGCTGCTGTGATTATTAGGGTGCAGGTGCCCCCTCGGATCACTACATTTGTATCTTTGGGGTAAATAGTAGTACAGTTGCTGGGTCATAGGGTAGCTCTATTTTCAACTTTTTGAGAAACCTCCATACTGTTTTCCAGAATGGCTGCACCAACTTATATTCCCACCAACAGTGTAGGAGGGTTCCCCTTTCTCTGCATCCTTGCCAACATCTGTCATTTCTTGACTTGTTAATTTTAGCCATTCTGACCGGTGTGAGGTGGTTTCTCATTGTGGTTTTGATTTGTATGGGAAAAATCTTTAAAGAAAAGTTTTAAAAGATAATTGTATACAGGAACAAATAAAATAATGGCAGCACATTCTGCGTGGAGCACTGGGTGTTATGCACAAACAATGAATCATGGAACACTACATCTAAAACTAATGATGTAATGTATGGGGATTAACATAAGAATAAAAAAAAAAAGTAAAGGTGATGTTGGCAAAGATGTGAAAAAATTGGAACTTTCATACATGGCTGGTGGTAATGTAAAATGGTACTGCTGCTATAGAAAACACTCTGGCAGTTCCTTCAAAAGTTGAACATAGAATTGCCATATGATGTAGCAAATTCCACTCTTAGGTATATAGCCAAGAGAATTGAAAACATGTTCACAGGGTGCCTAGGTGGCTCAGTCTGTTAAGTGTCTGCCTTCAGCTCAGGTCATGATCTCAGGGTCCTGGGATTGAGCCCCACATCAGGCTCTCTGCTCAGTGGAGAGCCTACTTCTCCCTCTCCCCCTGCTTGTGTGCTTTCTTTCTCTGTGTCAGATAAATAAATAAAATCTAAAAAAAAGAAAGAAAACATGTTCACACAAAAATTTGTATATGAATGTTCATAGCACTATTTTCCAAATAGCCAAAAAGTGGAAACAACCCAAATGTCCATCAGTTGATGAATGTATAAACAAGATGTGGTGCATAGCAATAAGATATTAAGCCATAAAAAAATGAAGTGCTGATACATGCTACCACATGGGTGAACCTTGAAAACATTATGCTTAATGAAAGAAGATGGATACAAAAGGCCACATATTACATGATTTTATTAATATGAAACATCCACAATAAGCAAATCCATACAGGCAGAGAGTAGATTAGTGATTGCCAGGGGCAACGAAGAAGAGGAAATGAAAAAGATAATGCCATGAAAACAATCAAAAGAGTGAGTGACTCTAGAAACATAAGACAAAGTATTTCAGAGCAAGGATGGAATGTTTCTAATTCATGGTTATAGTAGTGATTACTCCAGTAAAGCTGATTTAAAAAAAAAAAAGTCAGAAGAGGGACCTACTTCTTGGTCACCTAATTTTTGTCAAGTTCTTTGTTCCTAGGTCTTCCCATTGTATTACCTGGAACTCTCTCCCAACTATAGCTTTAGCCTTTCCTGTTTAGTGCCTTGTGGCCCTTTTGCTGTTCTCTTAGGCTTTTTAGGCTTTTTCCTACTAATGAGTGTTAAGGAAACAGAGCTGTTCAGGGTCCTGTTCCCTCTGAGCTGAGTTCTGTGTCTTCCAAACCAATAGATTAAATGAATCCATGTTAATACATTAAAGGTCAAGCACTTAGAGTAAGGCCTCATCTTAACACACAGAATAGTCATCATTAATATGGCATGATTTTTAAGTCTAGAAAAGCTTCCTTTGTTAAAAAACAAACAAAAAACCCCAGCTTTCTCCTGACCCCATATATAGCAGTGGAAAGAGGGTGTAAGGAATATGTATTTTTAAATAATTCCACAGGTGACTTTACTAATCACTCAGGCTTAGAAACCACTGGATTGAGGTACTGCTCAGCCCATCTTTTAAAAACAAAACAAAATACCTTTACTCAGACTTCACTAAGTTTTCATCAAAAATCTTTGCAGGAGACTTTTTTCATATGCTATTTATTATCTACTGTCTCTCATTAGCTCGGTTGGTCTTTTCATTCCTCTAAAGAAAACAGGTTTTAGGGGCCCACTTTCATTAAGAATCCACTATGTACAAGGTATTTGATAAGGGCTCATATTTAGTTCTCATAGATGATAAAAATGAGGTTCAAATGGTAAATAACTTGCCCAAGGACATAGCTAGTAGGTAGCAGGAGTGGGTTTTGTATGCTCGACTTTAAAATAAACGTGTTTCCTTTTATGCTGTGCTAACTCTGGGAGGATGGAACAAATGAGGATCTATCGTCATCATCTTCACTGACCCATTTGCTCCTAAATTCTCTGCTTCTCCATACCTGGACATACGGAGAAAGAAATAAGTCACTAACACAGAGCATATCTCTGTTCTTAAAAAATCCTGACCATCTTTTCCTAATTAGGTTTTTCAGTGGTTTGAGTCACTTGCTTGCCTCACACAGATGGAATCATGGGCTTTTTTTCACTAGTTGACTTATACTATAACCTAATTAGTAATATCTTTACCTTTGATCATTTATAAACTTCTAATATACAACAGCTTTGAGTTACTCAGAGAAACCTTATTTATATTAGAAACTGCCCCCCAGCCAATGGCACAACCTCTATGACTTCAGTTTTCTCTTCTGTAAGATGATGGGGTAGGAGTAGATTATTTCTAAGTTTCCTTTTGCATTCTGTGCATATAAGTCACTTATTTCGGACACATGACAGATTTGCACAAACATTATTACAAGGGTCATTGGATTTTCAAGCTAGCTCATTAAACTTCTTGAACAAGCAACATACCTAAAATACAGTAATGCAGGTTGGAGGAAGAGACAAAGGGCTCTGTTAAAGAGATAGTCTTGCATATCATTCTGCCTATGTTTACTTCTTGATTGCAATGAAGACAGCATATCTGGTACTTTTGTGTCATCATGTTTTGTTATCCTCTGAGGAAAATTCGTGAAGCAGTTTACAGTTTTCATATCAAATTTGATAAAAAATTTTCTTGGCCAGAGTTTGAAACCTCTTTTGATAACTTTTAATACTTTGATAACTTTTAATAGTGGTGACTTATAATGAAAGCAGAAATTATTGATCTTAGGTGTCTATAAAGATAACTTTGGAAAAATATCTTCTAGGCAGCTGAGATTCTACTACAACATGGAGCAAACCCAAATCAAAAGAATCAAAAGCAGAAGACTGCTTTGGATGAAGCAGATAATGAAAAAATGAAAGAGCTGCTGAAATCTTATGGTGCAATTGAGACTGATAATAGAGATGAAAGTAATGTTATAGCCACTGGTATGTATGTCAGTATTGCTTAGACAAGTGTATACCTCTGCTTAGAAAAATCTTCAGATTTGTAGTGTAAATTGTTTCATAATTGGGGTAGATGTTTTGTGTGTTTATTAAATTCTTGAAAAGCATTATTTATTTTTAGAAGTTAGCATTTCCAAATTGGTTTAATTTATATACCATATGATCCAGTTGGATTGGAATTACATGTTGAAATGGAACCCACATTATTCATTAAACAATTATTAATCTCTAGAGATAGAGACGTAACTGAAACCACACAAATTGGCTTACTGGTAGTGGGGTTGGAAAAGGTTGGCATTATACTAAAATCTTTGCAGCTAAGATCCCATTACTTCAAAATTTGTAGTGGTTCATGTGAAAGGGCCTGATGCAAACTTTTCAATACTCTAATGTTCTAATGCTAGAATATGAATTTGTTAATAAGCAAATATACTTGTATGCATATATGTATGTGTAAATATAATGTAAAAAATATTCAAGGGAATTTACAGGGAGGCAAAATTTTATGAACCATTTTTTAGAAATAGTTTGCATTTAAATAATATAATGAACTATCTATAAGAAATAGGCATGTAGTAAACACTAATTTAGAAAACATATATTTGTTAAGAACCTGCCAAGCAAATTGAGTATTTGCCTATGAGGAACTTATTCTTGTGGGGAGATCAACCAGAAAACAAACAGTTAAACACAGTTTATTAAGTGTTGAGGAGAGTGATTTGTTCTTCCTTTTCTGTCCTGCTTGAGCCTTGACTCATACGAGAAACCCAGAAACATATCTGCCCTTTCTCCCTATGAGGCAGAATAACTGGGAAGAGAACCCCTGTCACACACATTTCCCCCAGCCTACCACTATCTTTACCAATTGTTGATTTTCAAGAGAGGAGTTATATTATTGATATGATTGGTCAGAGCCAAGGATAATCACTGTCTCATATTCTACTAGTGAGATAGATCATGTGTAGCTCAAGGTCAAGACTGATACAAGTTCCTCTTTTCATTGCCTGCTCCAATATAAAGCCCCAGCCATGTCTCTCTCCCTCTCCACAGCCATGTTTCTCTCCCGCCCTTGGAGTTATTGGGCACTCTGTTATGAAGTGCTGTATCAATTCCCACTTGTCTGTTGTTTCTTGTGTATACATTTCCTTGATCAAGTACCCTAAAGGGATGAGGGATGAGGGATGTAGGTTACAATAGTTATATGAAGAAAGGGAATCCAGAATGGGAAAAGGGTCAGAGACAATGAATTGTAGACATAGTGATTAACAGCATGGATTTTGGAATCAGATCTATTTTTAGTACTAGCTGTGTGACATTAAGGAAACTTCCGGAATCCCTCTAAGCTTCATTCTCCTCTTCTGTAAAATGGACAGAATAAACTACCTATGAAGATTAAATAAGATGGTTCAGGAAAAGAGTTTGCCATCCACTGTGTGATAAGTATTCAATAAATGTTAGCTGTAATCACTCAATTGATACTAATAATGAGATGCTGATCAACATTAAGTTATTATAGTAATTGTAGACTTAATTTATTTCTATTCCTGTCACCATTAAAATTGATAAAATGCAGCTAAATTTTTACACATTATTATATTTTCTAATTTTAATTTTTAAAGTCAAAATTCCTGCTGTCCGACCAAAAAGACTTAAACGGTGTTTTTGTGATGACTGCAAAACTGTTGATCCACCTTCTCTTTCACACAGAGAAAAGACAAGAGAAAGCCATCCTGTGGTGAGTAAAATTGAAATCCTTTCATTTTTCATCTTAGAAAATGCCATTCTTTGGGCCAGCCAGCCATTGGTTATTGGCAGTATTCTTTGCATTTTAAGGACACACAGGTTGAAAATATTTTTTGTTACAAGAAAATAATACAGTTAATGAGCCAAGAAAATATGTTGTACAGTTAACTCACTTATCTGCATTGAATACAGAATTATGGATTAGCTGCTGTTCTTTACAACTAGGTTGTATTCTTTAGCTACTTCTTGTCCCACTATCATAGCGTGTCTTCATCCACCCATTCCCACAAAAAGTCTAGGATGCATAGTAAGTAGAAAAGATCCTAGAACCCAGACAAGAAGAGAAAAACAACTGGGGTTAGCCAACGTGGAATCTCACATGGTTTATAGTGATAGTGTTTGCTATATGTAAAGCTCTTCATATAAAAGTATATTTATACAAAAATAACATAGTAGTTGCTCAATAAAAAATGTTACTTGTTAAGATGGATATGTGTAACTTGATTAAAAACATAAAGCTTACTAGAAACTAACTCCTTAAGAAAGTAGCATCCTCAATGAAATATTATTTTGAATAATACTATGTATGTTCAGGGGCACCTGGGTGGCTCAGTTGTTAAGCATATGCCTTTGGCTCAGGTCATGAATACAGGGTCCTGGGATCGAGCCTCACATCAGGCCCCTTGTTCAGCAGGGAGCCTGCTTCTCTCTGCTTCCCTCTGCCTGCTGCTCCCCCTGCTTGTGCTCTCTCCCTCTCTGTCAAATAAATAAAATCTAAAAAAAGAAAAGAAAAGACTATGTATGTTGATGAGACTTCTCTTACATGCTTTCTGTTAGTCATTGTAAAGAAGACATTGCCATTCATTGAACCTAAACTATTAATCAACAAATTTGTAGCTTAAATATTTTATCTTAAGTGGTATTCAAACTAAATTACATTTGCCTCAGCACTTTGAAAATGTTTTACACTGTTTCCTGGTATCTGTTGTCATGGACAGAAAGTCAACCATCAATCTGTCATTCCCTTGTAGATAATCTGTCTTTTAATCTTACAGATTTTATATTCTTCACTTTCACTAAGTTGTGTCTAAATGTGGAGTGTTTTTATTAATTATAATCAGGCCTAGAAATGCTCCTTTAATCTGAAGGCACATTTCTCATTTGTATTTCAGGAACTTTCAGTCCTTATACCTTTGAAAATTGCCCCTGCTCCATTCTCAGTATTTTTCTGTTTTTGTAACCTCTATTCAGATGTCTTTTAGACCAGTCTCCATGTCTTCTAGTATCTTCTTCATATTTTCCATCTCTTTAACTCTCCACAGTATATTCTGTGTGATATCCTTTGACTTCTCTTCTAGTTCATTATTATTCTCCTCAAATATTTCTAATCTATTTAACCCATACATTGAGTCTTTAAATTAAATGACTGTTTTTTATTTCTAGAAATTATGTTTGCTTTTCAAATTTTTTGTTTTCAAGAAAGAACAAAATAAAACAAAGACTTTTCTGCTCTTAAAATATTGATAGGATTTTTAAAAATCCAAGCGTTTTTTGAAAGGAATTTCAAAGTCTCTTCCTGATTCTTTCTCATGATAACATGATTCTTTATGTGGTTTTTAATTTTTTATTATAATCCCCTTTCCATGAGGACTGATTACTGTGGGAATTTTGGTGTGCCTAACCTTTGTGTTGAACATTTGCATCTGCTGAGGCCCTAGAAGTTTATCCGTTTCACACAAGTTTTTATGCTAATTTCTCAATTTGGGTTCCTAAACCACACAAATTATATAAATTTAATTCTTATATATATGTGTGGTATAGGCTTGAGTCTCTAATTTTCTACCCAAAGCCTTGGGTGGTGACAAGTAGAGTTTTTCTAACCTTTAGTTAAGCTAAAGGTCACTAACTTTATGTGGGGATTCCGTGCCTCCTTTTCCTTTGTGAGCATTAAAAACCCAGCCCCTAATACCTATATTTGTTCCAAATCCCTGATGGGTCACCACTAGTTTCATTTCTGACACCAGGGAATTTTTCAGTCATTTTCCATTCTTAGCTGTGTGTGGGTATATATATATTTTTAAAGATTTTATTTATTTATTTGACAGAGACACAGCGAGAGAGGGAACACAAGCAGGGGGAGTGGGAGAGGGAGAAGCAGGCTTGCCACTGAGCAGAGAGCCTGATGCAGGGCTTGATCCTAGGACCCTGGGATAATGACCCGAGCTGAAGGCAGACGCTTAACGACTGAGCCCCCCAGGCGCCCCTGTGTGTGTGTATATTTAAAGTTTGTTGTATTTTGTATACTGTTTCCATATGTTTGGAGTAGGCAGAGGTTCTTCTCTATCAGCTCAGCCCACCATATCTTTAAGGTGTGTTTTCATGTAAAAATTAGAACATCTTGGGGCGCCGGGGTGGCTCAGTTGGTTAAGCGACTGCCTTCGGCTCAGGTCATGATCCTGGAGTCCCTGGATCAAGTCCCGCATCGGGCTCCCTGCTCGGCGGGGAGTCTGCTTCTCCCTCTGACCCTCCCCACTCTCATGTGCTCTCTCTCATTCTCTCTCTCTCAAATAAATAAAATCTTTAAAAAAAAAATTAGAACATCTTGGAAAAACTGCCTGTTATTAACTGTATAGGTGTTTGCTTCAGGAGTAATGTATATTATTTCACATGCCAAGCTTCAGGAAAAATGTAATGGAGATACAAGAGTCTAAAGAAAACCAACTTTGGGTGGAGGAATGGGTAAAATGGGGGAGGGGAGTGGAAGGTAGGTTTCCAGTTATGAAATAAATAAGTCACAGGGATAAAAGGTACAACATAGGTAATATAGTCAATGATACTGTAATAGTGTTGTATGGTGACAGATGGGAGCTACACTTGTGGTGAGCATAACATAACATATAAACTTGTCAAATTACTGTTGTACACCTGAAACTAATGTAATATTATGTGTCAACTGTACTTCAATTAAAAAAAAAGAAAAAGAAAACCAACTTTAGAAAAGGAGAAAAACTCAAGAAATATAAGGACTTTAAAGTCATTAGGGGTTAGTCTTTTGTAAATGTAAACTTATTTTTGAATGTTGGAAACTTCAAATCAAATTGGGGAGAGGAGTGACTCTATGGCCAGATACAAAGGAAATGAGATGATTTTAGTTTGCTGCCACCTTATAACACCTTTAGATCACAGCATGTAGGCAGCTTCCTTCTCTATACCCGCGTAGATGGAGTAATAATACTAATAGTTGGCATTCACTGAATACTTATTATATGATAAGCTCTCTAAGTCCTTATACTAACTCATTTTAATCCTCATAATAACCCTTCTGGGTGCGTTCTGTTATTCTCATTATTCTTCCTTATTACAGTTGAGGAAGCTAAAGTAAAAGACGTTAAGTAACTTAATCCAGAATTTTATTTCTGTTAAGTAGCAATACCAGAATTAAAGCAGTGCCAGGCAGTCTAGCTGCAGAGCCTGTGCTTCTTTCTTTTTTTTTTTTTAAGATTTTATTTATTTGAGAGACAGAGTGAGCAAGAGAGAGAGTACAGGAGCAGGGGCAGAGGGAGAAAGAGAAGCAGACTCTCCTGCTGGGCAGGGAACCCAATGCGGGGCTCCATCCCAGGACTCTGGGATCCTGACCTGAGCTGAAGGCAGACGCTTAACGACTGAGCCACCCAGGCGCCCCAGAGCCAATGCTTCTGACCACAGTGCTATACTGTACAAAATTGTAAGAGAGGTGTCAGAGTCAAAGATGATCCTGCCATGAAAAATAGGAAATTTGGAATAAAATTATAGTGAAGCTTTCCATAACCACAGTATAAACTGTCTAAAGCTGCTTGTTCCAAAGACAGATCATAGGTTGGGTTTTCTGGTATTTCTTTTTAAGATAAAAATGCAGTAATGAAGGACTAAGAAGGGGGATCTTGGAGGGAAGGTTATACTGGCCTCTTCATGATGGAAGGTAAAGCTGGTGTGGAGTTGAAGGTTATTGCCCATGGTAGCCAAGACTGAATGCATCCACAATATGAGCAAAGCAAGACAGAAAATCAGCACCAAAAAAATGTTTTCTTTATCCTGACCTGTAGGTAGAGGCTTAGCCAGGGCTCAGATTCAGACCTTTAGTTTGCTTTTATAGACATTCATTGTAAAAAGAGATAAATCTCATTTTGTTTGTTTGTTTTGCATATTTATGTTTTATAGTTCGGCTCTGATGCATTTCATAAATGACAGCAGTGAGATTGCTTTTCCACATAATTGGATGGTTTTATTATGTGCATTTTTCATGTCCCTGTAGGCACCAAAGTAAAATTTCAGGGCAATGTACTTTAGAAGGCTTTGAGGACTATCACATTGTTTAAATGAATGTATATTGAGAATATATTAAAGGATAGGTGATATGAGTCAGTCCATCAGTCTTTGTTTATTGAGCGCCAGCTATATATCCAACAGTGTGGGAACCATTCACAAATATAAAAGCTATGCTCCTGCCTATAAGATGTTATTTTCTTGATAGAGAAATATAATGTGTAAGACATTATATATATTAATGCTAAATTATATACCACCAGAATTCTTAACTAATTCTGAAAAAGGAGAAATTCATATGAATTAGATTAGCCAGAGATTTCATGTATGATACGGGTTTTATATAATAATAAGCGGTACTTATTTGAACTCTTGTGTTTTGCTGGCACTGCCCGAAGCATTTTACATGTGTTACTCTATTCAGGCAAGGAGAGGACAAGTAACATGCTGGAGCCACCAGCTAGGAAGAGGTGAAGTCAGAATTCACACCCAGGCAGTCTAGTTCCAGAATCCACTCCATGATTACTTCTCTCATAAGAAAGATGAATCTGGGCAAAGTAAATTGAAGACATTCTAGGCAGGACAGTCAGGACTAACAAGGGCATGGAAAGGTGGCCTTAATTCCCATTTGTGAATGTTTGAGAGAGTAGTGTTTTGTATTTTTAAGATTATGTGGGAGATTTTAATAGTGTGCAGTGATAGTCATAAAGCCTTAAAGTGTACTTATTGCATATATGTGACCTTTAAATATTATGTGCTGAGTTGTTCTTTTATCACCTACAGCTATAATTATAACAGAAGTCAGTGAGAAATTATGAACCTTTATATGGCTGCTACTCATATATTCTGTTTACCAGGAGTAGATCTGCTACATAAATCAAAATACTTAGGTTTACTTGTTCTCCACAAATACGCAACATTTATAGTTAAGTTTAAACAAAGCATGAATACATTTCGAACATAAAGTGAAATGAGCATTTTAGCAGCACTTTCTTTAGCACTTTTACTGTGCATTTGACAATTGTATATCAGAGAGAAATATCTACCTTCTTGTAATGAAGTTTTTAATGTTTTTATCTGATAGCATCAGACCATCAGTGCCATTTTACAAGATATAGAAGAAAAACAAGAAAATTTACTAGAATTTGAAATAAGAACCCCTGAAGATGCAGGTAAATATGAACCCATACTCAAGTTTGATTATTTCATACATCCAAGGTCATTGCTCCCTCTGCTTCTTAAGGTACAGGTTTATGTCAGAGCTTACTTATGGTGGCTGAAAAGTAACCTTTTTTTTTTTATGTGATAATAAAGTGCCAGGAATGGGCATTATAAGTCATTTATGCAAACCAGGAGTTAGTGTAATTGTTGATCAGGATACTTCTAGTCTCAAGGTATAGCATCAGTAAAATGAGAGGTACTTAGAACCATGATCAGAGATAAGATACTACTGGTGATATGTTTAGATGAAGATGTGGGGAAAAAAGCATAAGATAGTGACTAGAGATGAGATTATGTTACTCCTTAGTTCCTCAGCTTCACCCAACTATGGTAACCTTTAAAAACAGATCAGAAAAGGAATAGGCAGTTGTGACTCAAGTAGGGCAAATCCTCATACCTTTCAGATGAACAGATAGACCAGGTAAATCTCTCACTGCATAGATGTCTTCCTGTTTACAAAACACTAGTGATTCAAAATGGTAAATTTGACTTTGATTTCTAACCTAATAATCTGAATTTCTCAAAATTTCAGTGACTATTTGCAGATCTTTGATAGATCACACTTGTGTTTTCTTGAGTTATGACTTACAAGGTAGAAATTATCTCCTGATAGATGCAGATCTGAATGTTTAAGTAGTTAGCTAAAAAGTAATTTGAAGTATCTTATCAATCTTTTGTGTAACAGGATACAACTATTAGTTCATCTCTTGTCCTAGTCCATACTGTATAGTCTTTATTTTTTTTTTTTTTAAGATTTTATTTATTTATTTATTTGAGAGAGAGAGAGAGAGAAACAGCATGAGAGGGGATAGGGTCAGAGGGAGAAGCAGACTCCCTGACGAGCAGGGAGCCCGATGCGGGACTCGATCCAGGGACTCCAGGATCATGACCTGAGCCGAAGGCAGTCGCTTAACCAACTGAGCCACCCAGGCGCCCAGGAAATAATTTTTTAAAGACTATACAGTATGGGGCGCCTGGGTGGCTCAGTTGGTTAAGCGACTGCCTTCGGCTCAGGTCATGATCCTGGAGTCCTGGGATCGAGTCCCGCATCGGGCTCCCGGCTCGGTGGGGAGCCTGCTTCTCCCTCTGACCCTCCCCCCTCTCATGTGCTCTCTCTTTCTCATTCTCTCTGTCTCAAATAAATAAATAAAATCTAATAAATAAATAAGTATTTCCTTTTAAATTATACCCATTCTGCCTTTCATCTTGGCCTAATACATGGTACATGTTATGATTTGAGGAAAATAATACAAAATAACTTATACCCTCAAATAAATGTGAATAGTTCATATATTTTATTTAGTATTTGTAATATCTTATACACCTAAGGTGAATTTCCTAATTTTATAATTTTTTTATTAAAAAGGCATATAAAGGGGCGCCTGGGTGGCTCAGTCGTTAGGCGTCTGCCTTCGGCTCAGGTCATGATCTTGGAGTCCCTGGATCGAGTCCCGCATCGGGCTCCCTGCTCAGCAGGGAGTCTGCTTCTCCCTCTGACCCTCCCCCTTCTCATGTGCTCTCTCTCATTCTCTCTCTCTCAAATAAATAAATAAATAAATCTTTAAAAAAAAAAAAAGGCATATAAATATACTTCAAAAAATAATAAAGATGAAAAAATATGCTAAAATTACCTACTGTCCCACCACAATATTTGTTTCCTTTCTTTTTCTAAGAATTTAGCTATGCAGTTATACCTCACTAAAATTGTTAAAAACCTAGTTTGGATCATGCCAAATTTGCTATTTTAACATTTTTCCCCCGTAGCTGTTATTCTTAGTGGTGCATAGTATCCTGTTCTGTAAATGTTCCAGGGCTTAATTTTTCCCTTTTTGTTGAGCAAAAAATTTACATTTTTCAAATTTTTGGCTATTCTATAGCATATATTTTTCTTAGGAAATATTAACATAATTGGGGCGCCTGGGTGGCTCAGTCGGTTAAGCGGCTGCCTTTGGCTCAGGTCATGATCTCTGGGTCCTGGGATGGAGCTCTGCATAGGGCTCCCTGCTCGGCGGGGAGCCTGCTTCCCCCTCACCCTCTGCCTGCTACTCCCCCTGCTTGTGTGCTCTCTCTCTCTCTCTGTGTCAAATAAATAAAATCTTAAAAAAAAAAAAAAGAAATATTAACAGAATTGGAACTACTGGGTCAAAAATATATAAACATTTTTAAATCTATTGATTTGTATTGATAAGTTGTTTCATAAAGTATTAGATACTAATTTAATTTGCACTTTCACTGACACACATTAGTGTTTGTTTTCCTTTCACTGCTAACAGCTTCAGTATTTTCATTTAAATTAATTTTAGTAGTTTAATAACAAGAATGCCTAATGCCTCATATTTTCACTTGCCTTATTGATTATTAGTGGTATTTTTCTCTAGTTTTATTTCCTGCTTTGTGAATTGACTATTCCTGTTTGTCTATTAATAAATAGCCATTTTATGTAATCAAGTTATTGACCCCTTTTCTGCCTTAACTGCTGTAAATATGTTTTTCAGCTACTTAACTCTTTTTATGTGTAACGTGTTAATTTATGCTTAAGTACATACATTTTCAAATTCTGTATAGTAAAATGTATCAGCCTTTCCTTTGCTGTTTCTTTTAATGCTTTTAAGATTAGAAACTTTTCTCCCCTCCCCATCCCTATGCTTCATAACTTAATTTAATTCTTTTTAGTCAGGATCCCTTTATTTTCGTCTCACTGCCCGTTTAAGGGAGGAGAGGAAGGCAATGGGACTCTAGAGTTCTTGGCTAGTAACTAAATACTGACTGCATTGACTCCATCAATCCTTGGCAAATGTCTACAACTTAGTCTATTCAGAGCAGTTTTCTGAGGCTGTTCTGAAGCTTCTACCTGGCTTCTGTGTGGCAGGACAGCACATTTTCCTTTCCCTGGCTCCTCTCAGTCTCCTCCTCCTCCTTCTACCCTCCTCCTTACTCCCTCCCTCCTTCCTTCCTCCTTTCTTCCTTCTTTCTTCTTCTTTTTTTTTTTTTGGTGTCCCACCCTATACAGGCTCTTTCTCTGAGGGAGAAGCCATCATAGGACCACAGGGCAGGCTCCACACCAAGTCATCAGGATCCTGGCACTCTGGACCTGTGATTAGAAGGGAGGACAGTTAATTTCTAGCAGCAACTTTCCCTTTCCCCAGCTGTCCAAACGTCCTTCTCTGTAGGGTCTCAACCTCTAGATGTTCAAGGAGGAAGCCAGGTGTGAGTCAATCATCACCTCAAAACAAAGTTACTACTCTCTTCTTGAGAGACTCCCCACCCCCACCCCCGTTAGGCTTGAATAAAGGAGAGAAACCTCGCCTCTCGCTTTGGCTACTCATATTAGAAATTCCCATCCAGTTGAGCAATAGCTCTCTGAAGTATCTTTACAAATTCACCACCTCCGTATTCTGACACCTTCTATATCTTTGATCTGGCTGAGGGATCCAAGAATAATGAATCCCATTGTGTACATTTCTTTGTAAGTTTTTCTTATAGATGTCTTGCATTCACTTGGATATCAGATATCTTTAATGCCTCAACCAAACAGACCAGAAAAATGTTTACTTTGAACATTTTGTATGTTATTTTTTATTAAGTGTTTTAACTCTTTTATTCATTTTTTTTAACTCTTTTATTCATTTGAAATCTCTTCCACACGTGGCACAAGATAAGGATAGAATAGAGTCTCCCACCCCCATATTACTACTCTATTTGCCTCCTCTTATTTGTTGAATAATTTCTGTCATCCTTGTTTTTCTAATGCCTTATTACCATATATTAAAATCTTACACATATTAGGGCAATTTCTAAGTTTTCTCTAAGATATCAATGATTAATGTATCTGGTAAATAAGTATATAGTATCAAGTTAATGTAGAATTTTTTTTTTGAAGATTTTATTTATTTATTTGAGAGAGAGAGCGCACAAGCAGAGGGAAAAGCAGGCTCCCTGCTGAGCAAGGAGCCCGATGTAGGACTTGATCCCAGGACCCTGGGATCATGACTTGAGCCAAAGGCAGATGCTTAACTGACTGAGCCACCCAGGTATCCCTAATGTAAAATTCTTTATATCTTTTTTTATAGAAACATATAGAATCTTCTAGGTTACTATGATAATGTTATTTTTACCTGTGATTTAAATTTCAGTTAGAAAAACCCAATGTGGGTGCCTGGGTGGCTCAGTTGGTTAAGTGTCTGCCTTCAGCTCAGGTCATGATCCCAGGGTCCTGAAATTGAGTCCCGCATAGGGCTCCCTACTCAGCAGGGAGTCTGCTACTCCCTCTCCCTCTGCCCCTCCCCCTGCTTGTGCTCTCTCTCTCTCAAATAAATGAATAAAATCTTGAAAAAAAAAAAAACCCAATGTGACAGGGTACATAGTATGAACATCTTTTATTAAATAATGTCAAATCTGCCAAACAAATTTATATCTAAATTTTTCGTGATCATCTATATTTCCCCCCTTTTTTGGCACATGCATCATATGAAATTAATCCTCAGTCATAGTATTAACAAGACAGAAACTACTCTGGGAACACTGACTATACTGATCAAATTATTTGTCTGATTTGCAAAGGGAACAAATTCCTACTCTGAACTTGATTTCATTTCCCACCACTGATTTTCTCTAGTTAAATTATCTAGAAAAATATGCATTGGTCTAAAAAAATTAGGAAAAAACTTAAGAAACAAAGCCAAAGCTGAAATAAATAACAAGTAACTTAAAAGAGGTAAAATGTATTCATCTAAGCCTTTCCATTTGCTGCTTGGGAATCTGAATTTGGACATAATTGACGTTTATGTGTAAATCTTGTGGATTTGTGATGGGTGAGGGAGGTCATGATGCCTTTAATTAGGAAGTAGTGGAAGAAAGTAAGAAAATTTTAAGTAATTATTGTAAAAGTAATTTTATATACTGCATCTTTAAGTAACCTAGATATCATATAGTCCTATCTAAGTGTTAAGTGTAGAGAACAAAAACTGATAGCATCCTTCTTATTTTTAAGTACATATAATATATAGTTACATATAATATAAATATATAGAATAATACATTAAATATATTAAAAACTTTTACACACACAAATAAACACACTGCTACCAAAGTATTAATGGTAGTCTCTTTTGTGGAGTGAAAGAAGAGGAGAAGCAGGGGGTTATTTTTCTTCTGTGTTAACATTCATGTTGTTTGAAAAATTTTTTTACAATGTATTCCTTTTATATTTTAAAAAGTAATTTTAACAAAATATTTATTTTCCTATTTATCTTTCTTTACTAACCTCTTCTCACAGATAAGGAAGGTGACCATAGAGGTCATTTGACATGTCCAAGCTCTCAAAGTTTAGTGGAGTAGCAGGATTAGAACTCAGGCTGGCCTGCTGTATTCGGGGTACTTTCACAGGGTGGCATAGTTCAGTAAGCCTTGATTTATATATCTGGGCCACTGATATTAGGGAGCAGGATAGGGAAGTAATGGCTTTTTAAGAGTAACAGTAAGGCTGAGTCCTGTGTGATCAAATTTAACGTTTACTATCTCGCATTTAACTGACTTTTTTTTTATTACCGTGTTTCCAGAACAATACATTGAAAAGATGTTAGAGATAAAAGAGATTATGGATAATGTGCTTGCCAAACAGAAAGCAGAAAGGGATGATCTGGCTAAAAAATACAGGTGAGTGAAAAAAATAGGAATGCTTTAGAGTTTTCATAATTTATCCCTTTTTAGGTATAATAGTTAGATCTAGAATTTCTTAAGAGTACAAATGTTGTTTAGGACCAAAGAATGACTTTATGAGGTCATCTAATCTATTACCTCCATGGGGAATTGTACTTCCCAGAAAGATATTTTTCTATTTTATTACTTGAAATATTCAGAAAAAGACATTTTAGTATCTTTTTAAAAAATATTTTTTATTAACATAATGTATTATTTGTTTCAGAGGTATAGGTCTGTGATTAAACAGTCTTACACAATTCACAGCGCTCACCGTAGCAAATACCCTCCCCAGTGTCCATCACCCAATCACCCCATCCCTCCTACCCCTCTCCACTCCAGCAACCATCAGTTTGTTTCCTGAGAGATCGCTTCTCGGCCTTTTGGCTAAGATCAAGTGTAGTTTGTTTCCTGAGATTAAGAGTCTCTTATGGTTTGTCTCCCTCTCTGGTTTCATCTTGTTTCATTTTTCCCTTCCTTCCCCTATGATCCTCTGTCTTGTTTCTCAAATTCTATATATCACTGAGAACATATGAAAATTGTCTTTCTCTGATTGACTTATTTCACTTAGCTTAATACCTTCTAGTTCCATCCACGTCATTGCAAATGGCAAGATTTCGTTTTTTCTATGGCTGCATAATATTCCATTGTGTATATATGCCACATCTTCTTTATCCATTTGTCTATTGAAGGGCTCCTCGGCTCTTTCCATAGTTTGGCTATTGTGGACGTTGGTGCTGTAAACATTGGGGTGCACGTGCCCTTTCAGATCCTACATTTGTATCTTTGGGGTAAATCCCTAGTAGTCTAGTTGCTGGGTCGTAGGGTAGCGCAATTTTCAACTTTCTGAGGAACCTCCATACTGTTTTCCAGAGTGGCTACATCAGCTTGCATTCCCACCAATAGTGTAGGAGGGTTCCCCTTTCTCCCCATCCTCGCCAACATCTGTCGTTTCCTGACTTGTTAATTTTAGCCATTCTGACTGGTGTGAGGTGGTATCTCATTGAGGTTTTGATTTGTAGTTCCCTGATGCCAAGTGATGTTGAGCACTTTTTGATGTGTCTGTTGGTCATTTGGATGTCTTCTTTGCAGAAATGTCTGTTCATGTCTTCTGCCCATTGCTCGATTGGATTATTTTGTTCTTTGGGTGTTGAGTTTGATAAGCTCTTTATAGATTTTGGATACTAGCCCTTTATCTGATACGTCATTTGCAAATATCTTTTCCCATTCTGTCGGTTGTCTTTTCATTTTGTTGACTGTTTCCTTTGCTGTGCAAAAGCTTTTAATCTTGGGTGCCTGGGTGGCTCAGTTGGTTAAGCATCTGCCTTCGGCTCAGGTCATGATCCCAGGGTCCTGGGATCGAGTCCCGCATTGGGCTCCCTGCTCAGCGGGGAGCCTGCCTCTCTCTCTCTCTCTGTCTCTTATGAATAAATAAATAAAATCTTTAAAAAAAAAAAAAAGTTTTTAATCTTGATGAAGTCCCAATAGTTCATTTTTGCCCTTGCTTCCCTTGCCTTTGGGGATGTTTCTAGGAAGAAGTTGCTATGGCTGAGGTTGAAGAGGTCGCTCCCTGTGTTCTTCTCAAGGATTTTGATGGATTCCTGTCTCACATTTAGGTCTTTCATCCATTTTGAGTCTATTTTTGTGTGTGGTGTAAGAAATCGGTCCAGTTTCATTCTGCATGTGACTGTCCAATTTTCCCAACACCATTTGTTGAAGAGACTTTTTTTCCATTGGATATTCTTTCCTGCTTTGTCGAAGATTAGTTGACCATAGAGTTGAGGGTCCATTTCTGGGTTCTCTGTTCTGTTCCATGGATCTGTTTCTGTTTTTGTGCCAATACCATACTGTCTTGATGATGACAGCTTTGTAATAGAGCTGGAAGTCCGGAATTGTGATGCCACCCGCTTTGCTTTGCTTTGCTTTTTCAACATTCCTCTGGCTATTCGGAATAGCCAGAGGAATATGGAAATATATTCAGTATTTTTTTATTTCTTTTTTTTTAAAAGATTTTATTTATTTGACAGAGAAAGAGACACAGCAAGAGAGGGAACACAAGCAGGGGGAGTGGGAGAGGGAGAAGTAGGCTTCCCATGGAACAGGGAGCCCGATGCGGGACTCGATCCCAGGACTCTGGGATCATGACCTGAGCCAAAGGCAGACGCTTAACGACTGAGCCACCCAGGCACCTAGTATTTTTCAATTTCTATTGAAATTTATATTCCATATAAATTTTAAGATTATTTGTTCCATTTCTTTGAAAAAAGTTGATGGTATTTTGATAAGGAATGCATTAAATGTGTAGATTGCTCTAGGTAGCATAGACATTTTCACAATATTTGTTCTTTCAATCCGTGAGCATGGAACATTTTTCCATTTCTTTGTGTCTTCCTCAGTTTCTTTCATGAGTATTCTACAGTTTTCTGAGTACAGATTCTTTGCCTCTTTGGTTAGATTTATTCCTAGGTATCTTATGGTTTTGGGTGCAATTGTAAATGGGATCAACTCCTTAATATCTCTTTCTTCTGTCTTATTGTTGGTGTATAGAAATGCCAGCAATTTCTGTGCATTGATTTTATATCCTGCCACTTGACTGAATTCCTGTTGAGTTCTAGCAGTTTGGGGTGGAGTCTTTTGGGTTTTCCACATGAAGTATCGTATCATCTGCAAAGAGGGAGAGTTTGACTTCTTCTTTGCCGATTCGGATGCCTTTTATTTCTTTTTGTTGTCTGATTGCTGAGGCTAGGACTTCTAGTACTATGCTGAATAGCAGTGGTGGTAGTGGACATCCCTCCATGTTCCTGACCTTAGGGGAAAAGCTCTCAGTTTTTCCCCAATGAGAATGATATTCGCTGTGGGTTTTTCATAGATGGCTTTTATGATATTGAGGTATGTACCCTCTATCCCTACACTGTGAAGAGTTTTATTCAAGAAAGGATGCTGTACTTTGTCAAATGCTTTTTCTGCACCTATTGAGAGGATCATATGGTTCTTGTTCTTTCTTTTATTAATGTATTATATCACATTGATTTGTGGATGTTGAACCAACCTTGCAGCCCAGAAATAAATCCCACTTGGTCGTGGTGAATAATCCTTTTAATGTACTGTTGGATCCTATTGGCTAGTATTTTGGTGAGAATTTTTACATCCATGTTCGTCAGGGATATTGGTCTGTATTTCTCCTTTTTTTTTTTTTTAAAGATTTATTTATTTATTTGAGAGAGAGAGACAGAGAGTACATGAGTGGGGGAGGGTCAGAGGGAGAAGCAGGTTCCTCGCTGAGCAGGGAGCCTGATGCGGGACTCGATCCCGGGACTCCGGGATCATGACCTGAGCCGAAGGCAGTCGCCCAGCCAGCTGAGCCACCCAGGCGCCCTATTTCTCCTTTTCAATGGGGTCTTTGTCTGGTTTTGGGATCAAGGCATTGCTGACCTCATAAAATGAGTTTGGAAGTTTTCCTTCCATTTCTATTTTTGGAACAGTTTCAGAAGAACAAGTATTAATTCTGCTTTAAATGTTTGGTAGAATTCCCCTGGGAAGCCATCTGGCCCTGGACTCTTGTTTGTTGGGAGATTTTTGATTACTCCTTCAATTTCCTTACTGGTTATGGGTCTGTTCAGGTTTTCTATTTCTTCCTGGTTCAGTTTTGGTAGTTTATACATCTCTAGGAATGTATCCATTTCTTCCAGATTATCTAATTTGCTGGCATATAGTTGCTCATAATATGTTCTTATAATTGTATTTCTTTGGTGTTGGTTGTGATCTCTCCTCTTTCATTCGTGATTTTATTTATTTGGGTCCTTTAAGACATCTTAGTATCTTAAAAAGTTGTCTACAGCCAAGAATTTTATGAAAATGTCTCTAGTCATGAATCCCCAAAATAAATTTCTTTCTGTAGTGAACTCAGATTTTTTACATTACAAATTTTTATTTTGCTATCACAAATGTCGTCTTTCCAAGCAGTGTAACCATGTATATTATTTAGTTTTGTGTATTTCTAAACTTCTTAGAGTTTTTAAGAGGTTTCATCTTGATGATATTGGTTATATATTGCTTTTTGTCCTTTTCTTGAGAAAGATGTGTTATACGCAACTAATGAATCATTGAACACTACATCAAAAACTAATGATGTACTATATGCTGGCTAATTGAACATAATAATAAAAAAAGAAAAATGTTGGGCGCCTGGGTGGCTCAGTCGGTTAAGCGACTGCCTTCGGCTCAGGTCATGATCCTGGAGTCTCGGGATCGAGTCCCACATCGGGCTCCCTGCTCAGCGGGGGGTCTGCTTCCCCCTCTGCCCTCTCCCTCTCGTGCTCTCTGTCTCTCATTCTCTCTCAAATAAATAAATAAAATCTTTAAAGAAAAAGAAAAATGTTATATATTTTTTTCTTGTTTGGGCATTATTTTTATTAGTTTTTTATAGACTTAGCTATATATGCCTCTTCTTTTCTCAATGATGAGAACTTTTAAGATTTACTCTCTTAGCAACTTTCAAATATACAATACAGTATTATTAACTATAATCACCATGCTGTACATTATATCCCCATGACTTACCTATTATATTACTAGATATTTGTACCTTTTGGCTCCCTTCACCCATTTCACCCACCCTCCACCTTCCACCTCTGGCAACCACCAAACTGTTCTCTGTATCTGTGGGTTCAGTTTTTTGTGGTTTTTTAGATTGCACATATAAGTGAGACCATACAGTATTTGTTTTTCTGTTTCTGACTTATTTCACCTAATATAATGCTCTCAACGTCTGTGCATATTGTCAAAAATGGGAGGATTTCTTTCTTTTTCATGGCTGAATAATATTTCTGTGTGTGTGTGTGTGTGTGTATGTACGTACATACCACATTTTATTTATTTATCCTTTGATGGACATGTAGGTTGTTTCCATGTCTTGGCTATTTTTAATAATGCTGCTGTGAATATGGGATTGTAGATACCTTTTTGACATTATTTATTCACATGTGCTCTTTCTAATTTCCTTTATATTCTTGTAAACATTTGACATCTATTGCATATTCAATTTTTTTTCTGAACTTATTTAAAAATCAGTTTCCTGTTTTCATTTATAAATCTTCTGTCTTCATTTTGCTTTTCTCTCCAGTGAATAAGTATCACAAATTCATGTCTATTTCCTATTTTCCTATCAGTATAATGCAAGTGAGCTTAAAAGACCTATAGGTGGGTAATTGACTGCAGGATATTTTCTAGAAGGCTTTGGAGAAGGCTAGCTTCTATTTTCTTTTATGTCCTATGATTAACAATATACCAAGAATTTTGGAAAGTTCTTGATCAGTTGGGTTTGTAGGTGTGTAAATCCTTATTAATATTGCTATAAGACTTAAAATCTTGTAATCTGAAATGCACTTTTATTTTTCTATCTGAACTCTGTTTTAAATGTGATATTACTAATTTTTTTCTTTCTCCTCTATCCAGCTTCTTGCATTTTATGCTACTAGTTGTTTGCTTATCTAACTTCTTCTGCTGCTTCTTCCACTTACATCTGCTACTCACTTTAACATCCATTCTGCTTGGAATTCAATACTAACAACTCTAAACTGCGATAGGAGAGACAGATATCTATACTATTGCTGTCCCTTAAAGCAGCTGCTTAAGGGCGATCCCTGAGGGTCCCTGAGACCATTTAAAGGGGTGTGTGAAGTCAAAACTATTTTTATAATAAAACTGAGATGTTATTTGCCTTTTTGGCTCACATTCTCTCATGAGTGTGTAATGGAATTTTCTAGAGGCCACATGAACTGTGATAACATCATTATTCTAATAGCTAACGGAATGTATGCTTGTATATTCTTGTGTTTTAAAATTTTCTGTTTTATTTTCTAAAACAGTAAATATTAATAGATATACCCATATAAACAAAAGCCCTTTGGGTTCCTCAAAAATTTTTAAGAGTATAAAAAAGTCATAAGACCAAAAAGTTTGAGAATTACTGGAAACAAAGAGTCTAGTATCCTGAAGGTCACTGTAGAATAGGTGGGTATAACCAAAAGAAAAAGGTGTATGGATCAGCCATTTTCTCTCAAAATCAAGCCCCTTATAGTCACACAGGATAATGTTTATCTGGGTGGTCCCTCTCTCTGTACAGCCTTAAAGTATAATTACAGTAATTACTTGATGGACTAACATTTCTCAGGTCTAGCCTAGGTATTACTCACAAAACAGTCTCACTTCTCCCTAGCTCTAAGGGAACTTAAGTGGAACTTATTCCTAAATGTTACTTCCTGATACACCTTTCCACTATAAAGAGGTAAGCAAACTCCAGATTTAAAGAATGGTATTCCTCCTTGGCCATCAGTTGTTACCTTCCAACTAAACAACGCCAGTTTTGTTTTTCAGAGCTGACTCACAACTGGTAAATAATGTAAATATGGATAACCACACCATCACCTCTATGAAAAGGCAGTCTTATTCACCTTAAGAGTCATTTCCCTCTCAGAGGAAATTCATTGCAAAAATAGACTCTTGTGTACTTTGGCCTAATTAAATTTAAATTGAGACAAAGTATCTTTAAAATCTAAATGACTACTAAAAAAAAGTTTTCTACTGTTTTTGTATTTTTTTCTCTTTCTGTTTCTTTCTCTAGGGTGTCCGTAGAATCATTTAAGCAAGGAGTCCTGAGAGAACAACTGGCTAACTTGGCCACAAGACAGAAGAACCTTTTAGTTGTGGCAAAAAAACAGAAAAAAATTAGCCAGAAAATTCAAAACTATAAAAACATTACATCTCTGTCTGGTCCTAGTTTGAGGAATCTGCCATCCAGCTCAGAAATCACTAGTGAAAAGGACAGCCAAGAGCTTACCAGTCTGGAAAATTCATTGCAGCCCCAATCAGGTTCACTTTCTCCTGTAGGCCCTATTTGTGGAAGCATGCAAGAAACACAGTTGTCTCTGGATATGTGGAATGGCAGCCAAAATACCAACACTTGTGTAAACTCAGAAACAGTGAGAAGAGAAGAATTTTCTGGAAATGAACTGAATTCTAAACAAAATGTCAATGACTGTACCTTGGATGGGTTATCAAAATCCAGACATTCAGATGGTAGTAAGAAGATTAAATTACCATCCCAACCTGTTGCCTTTATTACTCAAGAAGAACATTCGCAAAAAGAAAATGATCTTATAGAAACTCCAGCCAAAGGGCACAAATCCTATAGTAGTCCTTCAGCAGTAACTAGTACATTAAATATTTCAGAGACTACAAGCATACTTGCTGAAAATGATGCCCATCCATCGACTTTTATTTGCGATCAGGCTCCTACCAGTTGTGATCCAAAAAGAAGGAAGAGGAAAATAGCTTCCCAGCAACAACCTAGGGGGACATTAGAATCCCTGGCACATCAAGGGACTGATGCCTTAGGCAGCAGCAGTACTGGGTATCAGACGAAATCGTATCTTAAAAAATCAGCTTTTGCTGTTCCCCATGCTAGTGACAGTCAGAACTCCTCTTCCTCTGGGTGTGGCTGTCAACGTACGATGAGAAAGCCTTTAAACTACAGCACTAGGAAGAAATGTATGCAGATAAAGGATCTGATATTACTTGGAAGAATTAATCCAGGAAATAACATTCTGGAATTCAAAACACAGGTATCCTATTTTTTTTCTCTAAAATCATGTAATTTTATAAATAAGTTAATAAAGGTTGCTCTCAAAAAGTGTAGGCTTTTAGCTCTAACTAGAGAAATAGTGTTTGGCTGGACTTCTTTTTTTTTTTTTTTTTTTTTTAAGATTTATTTATTTATTTGAGAGAGCGAGAATGAGAGAGAGTACATGAGAGGGGGAGGGTCAGAGGGAGAAGCAGGCTCCCCGCTGAGCAGGGAGTCCGATGCGGGACTCGATCCCGGGACCCTGGGATCATGACCTGAGCCGAAGGCAGAGGCTTAACCAACTGAGCCACCCAGGCGCCCCTTGGCTGGGCTTCTTGAATGAAGGGATATGCCACTATGTTCTTAGTGAGTGAAATCATGTTTTTAGGATTGCTCTATACATTTTGGCCACAAGCACCTTTGGGCTCTGAGGACAGAATTAGTCAATTATATTGACTCAGGAAGGATTTAAGAACAGCATAAACATAATAAATTGGAGCTTTCTTTGGTTTCAGAGTTTAGAGAATTACTGCATACTGCTAAAGCTTCCCCTGATAAGGGATAGGAATAAATTCCTCTTCCATAGGAGCTCAATTTAGAAACAAGAAGTAACTTGGAATTTGGATAAATCTGACTCAATTAAAACAATATCACATAATGCATAAAAATAGAAAAGGAAAAAAATTTTTCTACTAGAAATACCTACAAAAGAGTTTTCCTCTCTCCTTTGCCCACATTCACTTTTTGAAAGAGGAATTCGGAGTGGCAGTGACTGCAGGAGTCCTAGAATGCTTCTTTGCTTAGGGATCACTAGTTGAACAGAAAGCAGTCCTGGCTAACCAGAATTTAATGTGAATGACCACTGTTTCTAGTCCTTCCATTTCTGGTTAATAAGGTTTTTCCTAATAAACTTTACTTATAAGTTAGGAGCAAAAAAAATTAATTTTAAAATTCCAAACAGTAGTGTAAAGACCAAGTTAGTAGCTTGATCTCAGGTCCCTTGATGTTCCTGTTTGCTTGCCTGTCAACCAGTTTATCGTTAAGTAGTACCTACTTCAGATTAGCCAAAGCGACTCAGATTTTAGTTAGTAAATTAGTTATGTTAACTCAGATTTTGACAGTTGTGGCTATTTCTCTGGGTCAGCTATAATAAAATTTCAATATAACTTTTCATATTTTGACTATTTCTTAACAGCTTTATTGAGATATGATTAACATACACTACATGTATTTAAATTATGCAGTTTGACAGATTTTGACATATGTATACACCTGTGAAACCATGACCACAAACAAGGTAATGAACATATCCATCACCCCCAAAAGTTTCTTTTTGCCTTATTGTATACCTCCTTCATACCCCTTTCTTCCCATGCTGAGCTCTAGACAATTACTGTTCTGCTTCTTGTCCCTGTACTTTAGCTTGCATGTCTAAGAATTCTGTAAAAATGGAATTACACCATATGTATTCATTTTTGTCTGGCTTCTTTTTTCTGAACATAATTATTTGAGAATCACCGCCATTAGAGCATATATAAGTAGTTAATTCCTTCTTTATTGTTGTGTAGTGTGTAGAACAAACTACAGTTCATTTGTCATTTCATCTGTGACAGTAGTGTTGGGGCACCTGGGTGGCTCAGTCGGTTAAGCAGCTGACTCTCGGTTTCAGCTCAGGTCATGATCTCAGAGTCATAAGATCGAGCCCTACGTCAGGCTCCATGCTCAATATGGAGTTGACTTATCCCTCTCCCTCCCCCTCTGCCCCTCTCCCTGCTCATGCATGCACACCCACTCTCTCAAATAAATAAATAAAATCTTTTCTAAAAAATCAGGTAGTGTTAGTCCTCCAATTTTGTTCTCCCTTTTCTAAAGTGTTTTGGCTATTCTAGGTCATTTGCAATCCCATATGAATTTTAGAGTGAGTTTTTCAGTTTCTTTTTTTAAAAAAGGGGTGCTATTATTTTTAATGGTATTGAGTTGAATCTGTAATTTTGAGACAAATGACATGCTTTTAGCAATATTAAGTTGTCTAAACCATGAACATGATATAGCTCTTGTTAATTTAGGTCTTCTCTTTTTTTCCCAGCAGTTGTAGAAGTCAATATAAAGGTCTTTCACGTCTTTTATCAGATTTATCCCTAAGTATTTCATGTTTTTGATAGTATTATATATGACATTTTTTAAGTTTTAATTTTTGGTTGTTTATTGCTAATAGGTAGAAATACAATTGTTTTTTGTATTTTGAGATGTTATCATACAACCTTGCTAAACTCACTACTTCCTATAAATTTTTGGAGATTTCATTGGATTCTCTATATAGATGATCATGTTGTCTATAAATAAAGACAGTTTTACTTCTTTCTTTTCCATTGTGAATGCTTTTTATTTCTATTTTGGATGCACTAGCTAAAACCTCCAGTACAGTGTTGAAATAAAATAATAAGATCAAACTTCTATTTTTTTTCCCTAAAACTATGTTTCTTAGAAAAAATTTAGTCTTTCACTGTTAAATACAATGTTAGCTGTAGGTTTTCTCATAAATGCCCTTAATCAGGCTGAGTAAGTTCTTTCTTTTCCTAGTTTCTTGAATGTTTTTATCAGAAGGGGTATTAGATTTTGTCAGATGTTCTTTCCACATATATTGAGATGATCATGTGGATTTTGGTTTGTATTCTATTGATATATTGTATAACATTATTTGATCTTTGGATATTAAACCAACCTTGCATTCCTGGGAAAGCAGACAAATCATACTTGGTCATGGTATATAATTCTTTTTATATGTTGCTGGATTTGGCTTTCTAGTAGGCTGTTGAGGATTTTTACATCCATATTTATTGAAGATATTGATCTGTAGTTTTCTTGTATTTGTCTGGTTTGGTATTAAGGTAATACTTGTCTCACAAAAGTGTTTCTCGTTTTCTATCTTTTGGAATATTGGTAACACAGAATACTGGTTTTAAGTCTTCTTTAAATGTTTGAGAGTAATCAGCAGTGAAGCCATCTGTACTGGGATTTTTTTTCTAGATAGTTTTTTTGTGTTAATTCAGTCTCTTTACTTACAGGTTTTTTCAAATTGTCTCTTCTTGAATCATTTTTGGTAGTTTTTATCTTTCTAGAAATTTGTCTCTTTTATCTTATTTATTGGCATAGAATTCTTGATAGTTTCTCTTGTAATCCTTTTTTATTTCACTTGGTTCAGTAGCAGTGTACCCATTTTCATTGCTGACCTTAAGTAATTTGAGTCTCTTCACTTGTTTTTCTTGGTCAGTCTAGCTAAAACTTTGATTTTGTTAATATTTTCAAAGAATCACTTTTGATTTTACTGATTTTATCTATTGTTTTTCTATTGCCTCTTTTATTTATTTCCACTCTAATATTTATTTCCTTCTTTCTGCATGCTTTGGGTTTAGTTTGCTGTTTTTTTTTCCAGTGTCATCAGTGTAAGTTTAGGTTAATGATTTGAGATTTTTCTTCTTTTTCCATATAGGCATTTACAGCTATAAATTTCCCTTTAATCCACTGCTTTTGCTGCATCCCATAGTTTTTGGTATGTTGTATCTTCGTTTTCATTCATTTCAAGGTATTTTCTAATTTGCCTTTTGATCACCTCTTTAACCCATTAGTTATTTAGGAGTATGTTGTTTGATTTCCACATAACTGTGAGTGTTCCATTTTTTTATTATTAATTTCTAATTTCATTCTGTTGCATTTAGAGAATATACTTAGTATTATTTCAATCCTTTTAAATTTTCTGAGATTTATTTTATGGCTTTACTAGCAGATGGCCCATCCTAAAAAAAGTTCCATGAGCACATGAGAAGAATATTCTTCTCTTGTTAGGAGAAGTTTTTTATAGATGCCTTTTGGGTCTAGTTGGTTTATAGTGCTGCTCAAGTTTTCTCTCTTCTCATTGATCTTCTGCCGTTTGTTCTAGACATTAATGAAAGTGGAGTTGTGTTGTTAATAGAAAACAAAGTGGAGTTCTGTTACTGTTGAATTGTCCATTTCACCCTTCATTTCTGTTAATTTTTGTTTCATGTGTGTCAGTGCTCTTTCATTATGTGCATGTTTGTTTATAATTATATCTTCCTGATGCATTAACCCTCTCCTCATTACAAAATGTCCCTCATTATCTCTAGTAACATTTTTTGTTCTAAAGTCTATTTTGTGTGATAATAGTTATAGCTGCTCCAGTTTTTTTGAGGTTGCTGTTTGCATGATATATCTTTCTCCATCCTTTCATGTTCAATTTACTTGTCTCTTTCAATTTAGTCTGTTTTGTGTATGCACAAATTGCTAAATTGGATCTTGTTTTTTTAACTTAGTCTGACAACCTTTGCCTTTGAGTAGGTTTTTTTAATCCACTCTCATTCAATTAATGTTATTAATATTATTGGATTTATGTCTGCTGTTTTACTTTTGTTTTCAATGTCTCATGTCTTTTTTGTTCCTCTGTACTTCTTTATTACTTTCTTTTGCATTAAGTGAATATTTTCCATTATAGCATTTTAGTTTCTTCAGTGACTTTTTTTCACCGTATTTTTCGAGGTATTTCCATTGTGCTTACCCTAGGACATCTTCACTTATCAGAATCAGCTTCAGATTTATACTAACCTAATTCTAGTGAGACAAAGAATTACACAAAGAAGTGTAATTCCTACATAGCTCTGTCCCTCTTTCCATGATATTATTATTATATGTATTATATATATAAATGTTATAAATGAAACAATTCATTGTTATGATTATGACTTTATTTATCTTGTGATTTGTAAAGAAACAGAAGTAAGCAAGTGTATGTTTATAGATTTTGTTATATTAACCTTCTTATTTACCCTTTCATTTGTTCCTGTGGATTTGAATTACCATCTGGTATCATTCCCTTAGCAAAAGAAAACTTTGCTCCCACCCATCTCCTTTTTGCTATTTCCAAATATGTACATTATATATCTATTGTTTTATATAATTATTTTTTAAATCAGTTAAGAGAAGAAAGGA